CTTATACGCGCCTTTGTGCTTTAATTCGTCTTCGCCATTGAATTTTGTGCCGTGTCCCGTGCTCTGCCCCTTGCTGGGGCAGTTTTTTAGCACGTTAAGCCACTGAAGGCGCCACAACTAGGCGGATGGTGAGCAATTCGCAGCTCTTCCTCTCTGTTTGTCAGCTGTTTTACGGCAAAGTTATGACGTGCCTCATTCAGAAGCTTAAGTATGTACAGAAAAGAACACACAAAGCGGGAAACAAGCAGAGACAAGACGAAGCATCAAATACACTTCAACGATTGGTAACTTTACTCCGACAAAACTTTGAACTGGAATGCGATGGCCTGGCATGTACCCTCTGGCAAGGGTACCACAAAAATATACGAGGTGGAGGGGGGCTGGAAAAGGCAAACTTTTATACGATGCTGATGTAGCTGGCGTACACACAACTTTTGCCTTTTACGAGCTTGTCCTTTTGCCTTCTGCCTTCTATCAGTAACGGCTTGCCTCTCATCTCTACGAGAGCATCGTGCGCTGTGTGTGTGTCTGTCCTTATGGCGTTTTGTGTGACATTTATTGTCATTTAACTGTGACAAAGTTAGGGATAAGCAGACACCGACAGGCACACAAACACACGTGTGTCAGTCATGTGCCTCGTCAGACATCACTCCGCCAGACGTGGAAGATAATTTCACCGTTAAAATATTCGAGTTGAACAATTGCAGCATACACAGCAGAAATAACCCCAAAGCAAACTCAAAGAAAAAGTTCCGTAAGCTGGATTACAGTATGCAGTTTAACTGCATAAACATAACTGTCCTCAGTCCGATCACTAGCTGCTTGCTCTCTTCTCTTCCAACACTCTTGGTACTCTCGCAGCTCTATAATGAGCCTACTCAGTAGCACACACACACACTCCCACGCAAACGCTTCCCATCACTTGACTCTGTCTCTCTCTCTCTCTCTCGTACACTCTCTTGCCCTGCACTCACTCTTGCTCTTACTTGGCATCGTCATCCATCTAAGCAAAGCTTATCTTTCTCTATTATACTTCATCCCTCCCTCCGTGTTCTGCGTTTGCATTGCATTGCCCTTGTTTTGGGAGCCATGGGAATGGTGAATGTCAGCAGGAGGAGCAAGAATTAGATGGAAGACTGTCGGAAGCAGGCTCTGATTGTCTGTAAATAAAATCGTGACTTTTATATTCACTCTGCGAACTTTGATTAAGAGCAGCGTCAGAGAATGGGCACAAGTCGTTGAGTTTACTGCTGGCAGGTACAAGTTAACGGGAATATATACAAATGCCAGTGCCAATCCAGGTACCCAGGTACAGTGGCACACAACAAAAGCATACAGCGGTGTACCTGGTGTATATATTTACATACAAATACAATTCAGCAGCAAACTTTACAAATTGAGAGATATTGGCAGTTGTTACGTTATTTTTACTCGAATGCAATATTATCTCGTTATTTGTTTACCTATATGTATACCTCACACCATTCTACCTGCTACTATACCGGCATCTACCATCCGCTATCCACTTCCACATCCGCAGCCGCCATACATCCGTTCTGTGCCTTATTTCGCCACTGTTTGGGCTCTGCTCTGTTTGCTTTGTTCCCGCCTCTCCATGCGTTTGTTTTCCATTTCATCTGTGCATATACCTGCACATACACAAGCCCTGAAGAGGGTACCATGATTTCGACCAGATGCTTGCAACACACATAGCAGAAAGCACATATTCGAACCCATAATGTAATACACACATATTAATGAATTCACATTCATTATTTATTAGTGTACATATAGAAGGACATATACATATTTATACGTAGGTATGAATGAACATATGTAATTATCACGCAAGGGCATCAAACGTTTCGGCTTGACCAGTTACAGCAACACTAGCCATTCTCTCTTATCTTTTTTGTTGTTGTCGCTGCTGCCAGTCGCTGCTGCAAACGTGTTTCGACAGCGCGGACAAAAAGCACACAAATAACTGTCAAAGCTGCATTTCTCTTCAAAAGTAAACACAGCAAAACAATGGCGAAGAATATCGGCAAAGCGAACAAATTGAAAGCTCGATTGGTAGTTGGACTGGGCTCCCGCACCCGCTCCCTCCGCGCTTCCTTGTGATTAGAGCAAAGAGAAAACAAAGCAAAGGAACTCACACGGCGGGTGCTGTAGAAGAGACGAATAACTTGCTGCCATGCATCTACCATTCATTACCTGCTGCTAATTGAAGTCTTATTCGTTGATGCACAGCGAACGGGCAGAAGTTTAATTTTGAACTGACAAAAACAAGACAGAAACTACTGAAACTACTTATTGAAAACAATCCCAAAATGTGCAAAAAGTTTAACAGTTGAACTGAACAGCTTTTCGCGAACTCTCAACGTGTAACTGCACTCTGGGAAAGCTGCTTATAAAATGTGTTGACACCAAGCTGCTGATCTGCCAAAGGATTTTCCTACTCCGCCCAAATGAGAGACAGAAGACAGCCTCTGATGATGAGTGACGGGCCAGTGATTGTGTGGGTGGGTAATGCTACTCCACCGGTCATTGGCCCCACAACCGTAGGCTTCATTCCCGATTTGATTTCGAATCTGCCATAAAGCGTCCACTACACTGCACGCGGCAGCGTAGACAATATTTATTAATTATTTCCCAGCCCAGCACGCACTTGGTGTGGGTGGAATGGTGTGGGGTGGCCTGTTCGTTAGGGTTTAACGGGGAATTAAGTCTGGAAACAGAAAGTCGGCCAAGCACCATAATTAGGATGAGCGCTCGAGGGGCAATTATGTGACATCGACTCGCCAATTTTTATGCCATGTCTGGCTGCAGTCTGACAGTTGGGCGGAGCTTCGGGAGCAAAGGAACAGAGAGAGAGAGAGAGAGGGAGCATGAGGAGCAGCAGGCGGGCAAGGCACAGTGGTTGACACATTCGAGTGGCCTGTCAACTGCAGTGACAAATTTTCTCAGTTGAAAAATAGACGTTGAATACAACAGAACAAAATAATCGTAATCTTGCACTCCGAAAAAATCAAAATGAATCGTGATGAAGCAAAGGGCCGTAAGGCTGTTGGCCAAAAGACGGATATACATCAGGCCATTTCCGCTCTGGTGGAGCAGGCCAAGCGGCTGAATATGTTGACCGTGAAGGAAACTGGATCGGCAACGTCCGACACTGATTCTGGTGAATGCCTCAATATTTTCTCGTCTAAAGAATGGAAGCGCAATAAGAAATATCAAGCCAAAATGTTGCGAAAGTTTCGCGCCTCGAACACTGATACCGATTCTGCACCAGATACGCCAGTGGCCAGTGCTGCCTCAGCTGCTGGTGCAGCAGCATCAACCATACCACAAATGCTGCAGAATGCCCTGAAAGTGACCAGCAATATGGTCGAGAGCCAAAAAGCATCGGAGATGCTCGTAAACCAATTGATTGAGGACTCGTTGTCGCTATACGATGACCAGCTCACAGATTCGCATAAGAATCACAACTTGCTGCTGCTACAGCAGCTCGAAATAGAGACAAATGACCGCTTTCTGGACCAGATGCTCCATGGCTTGGAGCTGAAGTACAAATGCGAGAATGTGCTGCGCTTTGACTTGCCATCGATCCCCAAGCCGCCTGCAGCCAAAACAGCCTCACTGAGTGACGCTCTCATTGTGGCAGCCATTGGCACTGTTCACTCTACAGAGAACGCCACCAACCGTTGGGAGGAGCTGGTCCAGAGCCTGAAGGCCATTCCCACATTCCGCCAGATCATGATCGACTACAATGGCCGCCTGAAGGACCAGCAGGGACCACCAGAGCCAGAGACTCAGTTGAGCCGCTGCCAACGCAATATTAAGTTTTACCAAATGATGATCGTAGCAGAGGCCGAACTAATGCGACAATTGTCAGTCAAAGAGGAAGCCACCCCAGGGGCTGGCAAGACACCTAATAATTAATCTATAAAAACACATCAATAAATGTTACGTTTAGTTTTTCGTTAAATTTTGACACACTGTGCACTGCCTACCAACACTGACTGGGTGCATGCACGCAGTCTTACATACATATGTAAGTATTTACATGTGTAAGTATGCAAGAGAGAGACCGAGAGATGTGTGTGTGTATGCATGTGAGAGAGCAAAAGTTTTCTTGTTAAGCTGCAGATTGAATGCAGGCGCCGGTAAACACAAATTGAGAGACGGAAAGTTAACGGTGTAAAGAAGGAGTAGCCCGGTCCCCTCTGGGGCAACCCTTTTCCCGTTATTTAGCCAAATCCATGCTCATAACTAATTGCCAAAGCCGACGAAGTCGCCGTCGCCTTCGCTGTCCTTCGCCATCCCCTTGCCGTCGTTAGTCGCCTTTGGCAGCAGTGCAAAGTTTAAATTAAGTTGCGTGTCATAGTCGCAAAGTTTTCCACTTATTCAAAAAGAAGAACGTGCTCCTTCTATCCTCTATTAGCCAGAAAATTGAGCCGTGGCAGCCGCACCACCATCAGTATTAAGCCACATGTATGTAAAAAGCACAAGCAACAAGAAAAACCCAAAAAAAGTCCAAGTAACTGGCGTGCCAGAAGCCTTTGATGCAGCTCATGCAGCCAGGCACATGCATAGATACATGCATACATACATATGTATGTATGCAAGTACATGCATATATTTACATTGAAAAGTATCATCAATTTTGAAGTTTCTTTCATACCAACTTGTACTTGAAACATTGATTGTTTTAACTTTATGATGGAGAAGAACAAGTTTCTGTATTTATTAGGCAGAGATCTGGTCCAACACAGTAATGCACTCTGCAAAGGCAGAAGGAAGCCAGAAGTTTTTCGTAACTTTGAGAGCGAACTTTGGGCGCAGGCAGAACAATCATCTCTGACGCTGCAGCGGCCGAGCAACCAAAGCAGAGACTTGTGTTTTTGCAAAGCTTTTACAATGTGAGTGTTCGTGTGCTTTTGCTAAGACGCTGATCTACAGCTAGAACTGAAAGCTCTCAATGGCAACCAATGACGGGGTTGATTGGTTTTCGCTGAAACATTTACCAGCTCAAATATATTTATATGTAATTTTCTTTGGACATTCATCTAAATAAGTAAATGGAATCTCAGTTGCCAAAATAATGGAATACAATTGTTTATAGTTTAATTGGTCTTAAACTTTGCTGTCTGTGGCTCAGGCTTGCGAGGCTGCTGCTCCTCATAGTCCGAGTAGTCGGCAATGTCACGACGCTTGGAGAGGGACAGGGTCCAGCAGAGTATCCACAGGGGCAGGAAAACCGTGCTAACAACAAAGTACAACCAGTTGCCATATATCTAGAAGGAGAAAGAATGGGAGGAATTATTCTGATGCCATGTTTTGGTTCAGTCCAGAACTTACCACATTGTCAATGAGTCCATAAGCGGAGGCATCCATGGCGGCGGTGGCTGCGCGCAAGAGCAGTTTGTCAAGCTTCAGCTCGGGATACTGATAGAAGCTCATGGCCAGAACAATGACATAGACAACCACCATGGGATTGAGGAGCAGAGTGATGAAACGCGTCAGATTGCGCATGGATCCGTTGCAGTTATGCTCGCTGGTGTCCAGGGCAATCACCACCGGCACCGTGATGACGGCCACAAAGAAGCCGAGAGCAAAGTTGAGCAATCCAATGATGATCAGCGAGCAGCCGAAGATGAGCAGGAAACCCACGTGCAGCAGTTCCAGTCCACCCGCTGGCAGGACAACGACAAAGGGCAGAATCAAACCGATCAGAGTGAGGAAGCTCAGCACGGAGGTGGTCAGTGGCGCAGCGCCCATCGGTATCTCCAGGAAGTACTGCTGCAGTGGCAGCACATTCCCCAGATACCCAATGAGCAGCACGGCCGTCAGATAGACCAGCACAGAGCCATACGGCAGTCCATCCTCCAGCTCTGTATCGCTGTCTGTTTCAGCCTCAACGCCACTGCCACTGCCACTGCCAGTCTGTGTCTCAGCTGTTTTAACTGTCGCTGCAGCTGCCTGTTGCACCTCAGAGTCCAGCGTTGACCATGTCAAATATGCCTTGAAGAACGCGCAAGCGACGAGGGCCACCAGGGCGGGCATGTAGTCACCAATGGAGATGTACCGATCATTGTTCACAATCACATAGAAGAAGAAACTCTGATGGAAGCGCTCCAGCAGATTGTTGAGGCTGCGCGCAATGCCCTCGATGGCTTTTAGAAGCGGCACAGCCGCCGAGCCGGCGCTACCCTTCAGTGTGGCATGCGTTTGTCGCTTGGCAGCGGCAATGGTCAGAGCATCGATGCGGTAGCGATGGAACAGTCCGTGATTGCCATTGGGCACGCCCGAGGACTGTGTCGCCAGCATGGCCAGCATTTGGCGCAGATTCTTCTCGAAGAGCGACGGACTGGAGCGACGCTTCTTGCGCGCCGTCTGCTTGTACCCGGAAGTGATGCCCTCCCGCGCCATAATGCGCTGCACCAAGTTGAACATATCCAGATTGGGCAGCTTGCCATTGAGGCCCTCGATCTTAACATCCACATAGTCTGGAAGGGCATTACAGAGGATTGATTGTCTTAGCTGCTTGTTGGCATTGACTTACCAACTTCCAGATCTTGCACTTCGATGTTGAGCGCCGCCTGCAGGGAGCCTGCACGCGCTGGCAGATTGCCTGGCAGCAGGTAGGCCTTGCTCACGTTCAGCACACGGTCGCCATCGTGGTAGGCCTCCAGCCAGGCCTGCATGCCCAGCTGCTCCTGCTCGGTGATCAGAAATATCAGATCCTTGGCCCAATAGTTTTTGCCTGCGTACAATTTGGATTAATTTCTTTGGCACCAGCAACCTTTCGTCACTTACGTCTGGCAAAGTCTGCAAATGCCAGCAGCAGCGGCACACTGGGCGAGATATCCGGGTGCACGGATGAGGGCGCACGGTAGGGAGCGGTGAAGACAATGCCCTCGGTGCTGGCGATGCGGGGTGCGCGGAGAATGCCGTAAATGTTCTTGCCATGATACTCATTGCCCCCACCAAAGGGATAGCGCAGCGTGTAGTTGTGCGTGTGCGTTTCCAGGCCAAACTCATTCAGTTTGGCCGCAATCCAGGCGTGCGGCGTGGTCGATTTGTGCTCCTTGCGTTCGCGCTGCAGCTCCTCCAGCAGCTGGATGGCCAGACGATTCGCATCGAGGCGGATCTCCGGGTAGACCAGACCTAAGCAAGCAAGAGTTACACCTGATCTCAGAGTGGCTGGAGAGCGGAGACACACTCACCTGGCGACAGGGCGTTCTCCGATAGGTATGTGCCGTGGTTGAACTCGGGCAGGGCCAGGCAGCCGAGCCAGACCACACCGAGGACGTACAAGCCGCAGCACACCTTGCGCACATGCTTCGCCAAATTATCCACCAGCTTGTTCTGCGTCGAGATCGACGGATCCGAAAGCAGGCCCATTTTTCACAGCAACTCACAAACTTAATTCACAAATTCCTTAAAACGAAAGAAACAAAAACAATCATGACAACAAAATCTGAAAATTGACCGGGGAACTATCGATAAAATATACCGTCAGATATAACTTATCATTTTTTTAAATGTACCGTAAATATACCGCAGTCTTAAATCATATTCCTCGATTTTGATGTTCTATTTGATATTACTTGCTTGCAAAGACTTTTAACACTGAAACAATAATTTAATCAGATTGAAGAATCAATTTGGCTTGATATAAAACTTTCTCGATTTTATTTATTTATTAATAATTGAAAGAGAGTTATGTCTGTATTTTCTACACTCCAGTTAGACATTAAGTGTTCGTTTTAATTGTCCAATGGAATGTCCAATGGGTAAAAAGTCTGCATATTTGAAGTAAATGTAATATTTTTAGGGCAAAATATTTGAATGCGACTTTAATTTTCTAATTCCTGAATATCAAGATAGAATAAAACTGGTTATAGAAGATTTTTACGGAGTACAGTAGGCTGAACTTTGAGATGACTTGTGAATAAGTGCGGGAAACATTGAGCAACTTGCAGCTTTAATTATAGCTCGATTTCAAAGTTTAAATAAAAGTACGGTCATAATTAATCTTTTGCATACGTTTTTGTATAATAAATACGACACAAATGGTATTCTACTTTAGTCTAACGAACATTCGTGCCAATTTGTAGAGCTCTAGCTCCATTTTGGATTAATGCCAAAAAAGCGGGCTTTTTACCCATAGTGCAATGGACGCAGCTATAATGGTTTTACAGCAGTCAGCTTTAAGTCAGTGTGTTGGGGCTGCAAATCAGAGCTCTGCGCTGCTTTAAGTGTGTTTTTCGGTTTACACATTTAATGCAACGCCCAAATCGATGCTTATAAAACACAAACTAGCAATTAAATGAAATTTAATTTCAAACAACATTTTCTTAGGCGAAGTGAAGAAGTGCTACATTTGTGTACGTGGCTGTACACAGCGCTCCTTCTGTTTTTTGTTTCCAATTTATTTGCATTATTCGGTTTGGGGTGTTGTTTTTTAGTGTTTTTTTGTTTGTTGTTTGCTTATAACGAATAAGTTAATCAAACACATGTAAAATGATAACATGTAAAGGTGTTGTGTGTAAATTTAAATTAAAAATTTAGCAATTTACCATTCGTTGCCCAATAGGGGATAAATAAAATTCAGAGACAGACACGAAAAATGATGATTAAGGCCTAAGAAACTACGGGACTAGACACAAAATAAACTTAAATATATGAAAAATAAATCATCTAAATAAGTTTATAAATGTTCATAATGGTTGTTGTTGTTGTTGTTGTTGCTGTTGCTGTTGTGTAAGTTAATTGCAGTAAGTTAATTATTGTGTTGGTATCTGGCCCAGGGCTGTCGCATTGATGGGCAGTGGGGGGCGGGCTGGGGCCCGCATGTTGCTGGGATTCCAGAATAAATAGTTGCGATCGATGGTAAGTTTGGGTTTCTTGAACTGCGGCAGCAGCAGGTGGTCGAAAATGGTCTTGGTGGTGACGCAGATGACGTTCTGTCCCTTCCAGTACTTGATCATTTTCATCGATTGCAGCGTGTAGATGATGTCGTCGTGGGTGATGCCGCTCACCTCGCTCAGCTCCTTGATGGTGGTCTGCTCCAGCGAGACGCGGTTGCGCATCAGCTCCAGCAGCGTGAAGGCCCAGTAGCTGCGGTAGCTGAGTCGCCCGAGATCCGACAGCGGCTTCTCGGGACTGCCGATGACGCCCTCGCGCCGCGACAGCTCGTAGCTGAAGGCGATCAGCAGCTTGCCGAAGCCCTTGCGCTGATGCGGCGGCAGCACCAAGATGCAGGCCACATTATTGTTGTCCGGCGACTTCTTCTCCTTCGAGAAGTAGCCCACAATGTGGCTGCCCTCGCGGTCCACCTCGCACAGAATGTAGAAGAAGAATGGGTCCATGTCGAAGTAGAGCACTTTGTGGTCGAGGAAGAGCTTGGCCATCAGGCAGAGCAGCTGGCAGTAGAGCGGCTCGTTCTTGCCGTTCACCTCGAATATGGATATGTTGCCCTTGCGGTAGATCTCGCGTCCCGGGGGATGCCGCTTGCGGCACTTGTACGTGTGGTGGCTGTAGGTCCGCCGCAAGCGCATGTACTTCAGGCAGTACTCGCAGACGTAGAGGGTGCGCGCCTTGCCGTACTCCCCGGGGAAGGGGCTGAAGTACCAGGTGTCGATCTCGTAGTTGCCGAACTGCAGCTTGTCGATGTACTTGATCTTCGTGATGGACTCGTGCTCCTTCTCGAGCGCCGCCTGGGAGGCCGTCAGCTCCGCGTGGCTCTTCTGCACGTGGTTGATCTCGTCGTAGCGCCGCTTCTGGTAGCGCGTCATCTTGCGGTCGCTGTAGTCGTAGCGATTGTTCTCGCATGCCGACAGATAGTAGTCCTTGTTGCCCTCCCGCAGGGCGCGCTCCTTCTCGAGCTCCCGCTGCTGCTGCTGTTGCTGCAGCAGCAGCTGCTGCTGTTGCGCGAGCAGCGCCTGCTGCTGCAGCATCTCGCGGCTGGTGCCCGGCTGGTCGCAGTCCAACTGCAGCAGGCTGCTGGCCGTCTCCGTGATGCCGCCCAGGTCGTCGGCGTTGTCCGAGATGCGGTGGCGACCCACCCACTCGTCCAGCCTGCGGTTGAGGCCCACATAGTGCACGTAGTACTCGTTGGGCATCAGAATGTTCTCCGTGATGCGCGACTGGAGCACGCGGCCGGCATGCACGGTGCCGTCCTCCCGCCGTATGTAGTAGACCTTCTCGGAATCCTCATTCACCACAATCCCATCGCCCAGATCCCCCGAGCCCGCCGCTGCCTCTGTCTCCGTTTCCGTTTCCGTTTCTGCCTCCGCTCCAGCTCCCGCTCCCGCTTCCGTTCCCGTTCCCGTTCCCGCTTCCGCCGAGTTGCTGTCGTGCTCGATGAGGATGTAGTCATCGTCCTCGGACTCGTTCTCGCTGCCGCTGCTGCTGGCTCCGCCGCTGCCGCTGCCGTTGCCGCTGCTGCTGCTCCTGCTCCTGCTTCTGGTCTGCTCCACGTCGCTCAGATCATCCTCGTCGTCCGATATGTTCACCATCTCCGCACCGAGCACCGTGCGCATGGGCCCAGGCGGCGGCATGCGCCGACGATCGCCCGACGGCGGACGATGCTTGATTTTATACGAATCGATGAGCTGGCGCGCGGGCAGCCGCGGCGGCAGATACTTATCCTGTATGATCTGCGCCGTCTGCACCGGCAGCGGCTGCCGCGGGTACACAAATTTCTGGTTGTCCGGCGGCAGATCGAGCGGCTTGCGCGGATAAACAAATTGCTGATTGTCCGGCACCTGCTGCACCAGAGCGCGCGGCTGTGGCTGGTAGTCGAGCGGCTGGCGCGGATAAATAAACTGCTGACGGGGAGTCTCCCGCTTCGGCTCTGGCTCGGGTTCTGCCTCTGCCTCTGCCTCTGGTTCTGGTTCCGGCTCTGGTATGTACGGCGGCAGATTGATATTATCGCCACAATCCTTGGCCGGCAGCCCGGGCATGGCCACCTCATCGGCATCGAGTTCGCAGTCGAGCGGCCGCCGCGGCGGTGGCGGTGGCATGTGATGCTGAATATTGGGCATGCTCGGCATGGGATAGCGCAAGAGATTCACCCGCGGTGCGGGTATGGTCACCACCTCGGTGATGATGGGCTTGGTCGGTGCATCTGGATCCATCATGGGATACTTAATCGGTTGCGGCTGCGGCTGCGGCTGCGGCTGCGGCTTCTGCTGGGCCGACTGTGGCGCCGGCGGCAGATCCTCCACGTAGATGACAGTGTCCACGGATGCCTCATCCTTGGTGGAATCATCGAAGTCCTCGGAGTGGCGCGAACTGCTGCCGCTGCCGCTGCTGCCGGAGGTCGTCGTGCTGCTGTTGCTGCTGCTGCTGTCCTCCGTCACGGGGCTGTTCACGTAGAGCGGGGCAGGCGGAGGCTGCGGCTTCTCGCGCTTGGCCGGCGGCGCTCCATCCTCATCCGCTTCGGTCTGGTCTCGGGGGTGAGCCAAGCCTGTGGGATCAACCACATCGATGGGGGTCAGCTCCTCCTCGGCCACCCCCACCGCCTCGGCACCTTTCTCTTCCGCATCCACCTCAACCATGTAGCAGTCCGTGGTGACATCCAAGTAGCGGGATTGCTCGTCGTACAGCGGCTGCTGCGAGGGATCCTCCCCGTACAGCTGCACATCGTAGGACGCAGGCTGCACATCGTAGGCTTCAGGCTCCTCGAATCCGGATGCCCAGCCGTCACGCGGCTGCTCCTCGTAGGGCGTCTGCTCCTCGTCCATCGGCTGTGCTTGCTCCTCGTCCACCTCAACGGGCAGATGACCCTCGTCGCACAATTGCTCCTCGTCGGCCAAGAGTCCTTCGTCAGCGAAGCTCTCCTCATTGTGCGAATGTTCCTCCTGGCTCTGTGGGGGCTCCTCCAGGGTCAAGTTTTCCTTTTGGAGGGAGTAATCTTCACCTGGCGAGAGCTCCTCTTCCCGGGAGTGCTCTTGCTCCTGCTCCTGCTCCTCTGGAGAGTGTTCTTCCTCATACGAATGCTCCTGCTGGTGCTGGTGCTCCTGCTCCACGTCGAAGGACCTTTCCTCCTCGCAGGACTGCTCCTCTTCACGCGACTGTTCCTGCTCCTCTTCTCGCGACTGTTCCTGCTCCTCTTCACGCGACTGTTCCTGCTCCTCTTCACGCGACTGTTCCTTCTCGTTGCGAGAGGGAGATGGAGAGTGTTGCTCGGAAGATGGAGAGTGTTGTTCGCCTTCTCCTTCTCCTTCCATTGAGCATTTTTTTACGCGCAATTCTTGCCCCTCCTCCTTCTCGCGTGAGTGACGTTCCTCGTTGCGCGCGTAATCTTCCACGCGCGGTTTTTCCATGTCCACTTCGGACATCTTGCGAAATTCAATTTCGCTCACTCGCTAACGGCAGTCCGTTTTCTTTTTTCCAAATGTCAATTTTATATTTTTCAATGATAGAAAATACTTCGTTTCGAATACCGTATCATTATGTCTGGCATTGTTCTTGTTTTTCTCGTTGTTTCGTTTTTTTCACGCCCCTCTCTACGTCATACACCATACCACTTCATGGAGATGAGCATTGTATATCGATAACGCCGATTGGCGATACAGCGATAAGTTTGTTATTTTAATTTTTTTGTTTATTTACTTTACCGACCGGCACACGAGTCGCAGGTACGATTCATTTACCGCAAGTTATAAAATCAAAGTGTGAACTTACCTTCGTTTAACAACAGAAAACAGAGCATACGAACCTCTTACTCTCCCTGCTTCCGGTTTCTATAAGATTTATTCTCGCTGGTTTCGGACTGTCCGATAAAACCACCAAGCGGTTGCTGGCTCTCAAATGACCGCACAGTCAATGGCGATACTGCCATGACGATTATTGAGTGACAACTATCGATGGTGGCCACTATCGATGTTTCGCCCAACCCTACAGCAATGTAACAAAGTTGACCGGGATCTAAGTTCGTACTGAGGCGCCAAAAAATGGACTTAAAAACGTGTGATCTTTGCGGGAAAAGCAGCTCCAGTGATCAGTATGATACTTTGGCATATGGCGATTGGATGACTAGCCAGAAGCTAAGCGTCCACTACTACTGCTTGGTGAGTTCAAATCAGAGCGTGGTGTGCCGCCAAAAGGGAACCAATACGTATGCATTCTTTGCTGCAGCTTTTATCCACAGATCTGCCCCAGCGCGGTGCCGACTCGAGCGGCATTCTGGGCTTCCTGCTGCGCGACATACGCCGGGCAGTCGCCGCCGCCAAGAAACAAATTTGTTGCTACTGCAATGCGACGGGCGCCTCAATATCGTGCCACAAATGCTGCAGACGCTTCCACTTGACCTGCTCCCTAAACAATCGCGGCAGCACCGAGTTCTCTGGCGAGTTTCCCAGCTACTGCGAGGATTGCGCACCACTGGACGACTACCAGCGCCACCTGTTGGCCAATCCACCAAAGAATAAAATCTGCGACATATGCTTCGAGCCCATTGATCCGTTCAATCTGTACAGAGTCTGCTATGGAGACTGCTGCCGCATGGGCTTCGCCCATCGTAAGTGCATGCGTGGGTATGCCCTGGCCGCTGGCTACTATCTGCGCTGCATCTGGTGCCGCGACGACAAGTTCCGCGACCTCATACGCAAGCAATCGATCTTCGTGCCGGACAGCGATGCCACCTGGGAGCGGCAGCACAACGCCTACGAGGAGCTGCACCGCAAGCACATGCGCTGCGACCAGGAAACATGTCTCTGCCCCCACGGACGGGACTACAACAAGCACAGCTGGATCATATGTCCCTGCAAGCTGTGTGCCTCAACCGGCGCACACCTCAAGTGTGTGGCGGGCATAGCAAAGAATTCGCATGGCTCCGAGCTGGAAGACTTCACTTGCGAGTTCTGCCGGAATGTGGAGAAAAAGAGTCTGCTGAATAATCGTTCAGCGGAGAAGGGACAAATCGATATATCCCTCTATGTGCCCAAAACCCCACACGATCCGTCCATGCAGTCGAACACCAACGTGCTGCCAATTTTCTCCGAAGAGGAGAACTCTAAAGTTTCAAATGGCAGCGTCATAACGGTGATTGCAACCCAGCAGACATCTGCCGGAGCCACTCACGAAGCTACAAATATACACGATTTAGTGGAAGAAACGAGCAAATTGGCCGTAAATAACGTGGAAGAAGAGATTAACGTGATTCCTGATTCTCCATTGGCATCGCAGCTGGATCAGGAGTCTTTACCAGCACCAGTTCCTGGCTCAGTTCAAAATGTTGCTGGCAACATGATGACAATGACGGCATCCCAGCAAACATCCACCAGACATGGTGCCACTAAGAAAAAGCAAACGCCCAAATTGCCCAAAGTGATCCCTGACGTTCAGTCTGTTCAGGAGGAATCTTCACCAGGTCTGGTTGTAGCAAAGACCTTTACCTGCCCCGGCGAGCCATTCTTCTATGTGGTTGTCCTCACGTTTGATGAGCATCACCCGAACATTTGCACTGGCTCCTGCACCCTTCGCTTTGCCGCCAATGACCCTAGGCTCAAGGATCGTTCTCTCGAGACCTTACAAAACCTACAGATCAATAGAGAAGACCTATGGTCACGATCCACAGATCGCGGCGTGCTTGCCCAAGTCCATGGAAATTAATTCGATTTGTTTGTTATTTATTAATAAATACAGCAGAAGGTTTCAAATAATTTGTCTTTGTTTAAGCCTAGTACTCAGATCGAAACAAAAACCTGCTAGCAAAATCTGCAATATATTTTGCTAGCAGCAGAGTGTGACCAGAGGTGAAAGCCGCATTCCGTACGGTCACTCTGCTTCCATCTGAGTACTAGGCTTTACTTATTGTTTGGTGTGCACCTAGAGTTTATAGTAAAAATGGATTGGTTCGAAGTGGAAGTAGATGAGAAGCGAAGCTCAAAGTGTTCAGACCGCGAAAATGGTGATCTGCACGCTGTGCCCAGTGAGGGCAACTGCATTATGTGTGACGTATTCTGGAGGGAAGTAGTGGAAACTACTACCACAAACTGTTCGTTCAGCAAGCGGCGGCGCTTCGATGGCTGCAGGATCGTAGACTGGGGTTGCCTTTTCCGTTGGCCGTGCAGACGGTTAGCTCAGATTCCTCCTGCTCGCGTACACGCTTCTCCACCGCCTGGTGGGGCACGGGGCGCACTGTGCGTCGACGATGTGGCAGCTGGCTGAGGCCGTACAGCGAGCTCCGCAGGAAGGGCACCTGGTGGCAGGGCATTGGTCCTTTTTCTTTTGCCGCTGAATCCGTGTGGTAGAGCGTGGCCCAGCGTGCGCCGAGGGCAGAGCTCTGGAAGACGCCGCCCCGCAGTCCACCGGCACAGTCCCTGGCCAGCTGATAGCTAAAGGGCACCGGATGCACGTTCTCAGCCGGCGCCACGTCCAAGTGGCAGCAAGGGTCTGCAAAACGGGATTCATTGTTGAGCGGTAGGCATAGATGATGGCACGGCTGGACTCATCGGCAATCTCCCGCTCGGCGGCCACCTTATCCATGAAGGAGACCGCCTCAATGTACTTGGACTTTTGCAGCAGCAAAATCAACTGAACGCTGTCCGTCAACGGTGTCCTGCAATCCCTGAGCAGGCGCAGGGCGAGCTCCTCCTCCGTGTCGCGCAGACACAGCTGGGCCAGCGCCTTGAACTGGCGCATCCGATTCGATTGCCGAAAAAAGTACTCCAGCAGCGGGCGGCCCGTTTCATCGTCGTCATTGCGGCGTGCATACGCAAAGGCCTCGGGTATGCTCTTGCTGGCCATGAGCACCTTCAAGCGCGCTAGCGAGGCGAGCGGACCCGGTGGTCGATACACCACACTCATGGCCTCCGAAGTGGCGCCCTTGGCCAGCAGCGCCTCCACCAGAAGGTCCACATGCCAGCTCTGGTATGGATTATCGGGGCACAATGAGCTCGACAGCACTTTGATGCATTCCTGCATGCGATTAGATGTTAGATTGGATGTTCTATAAACTCTGAAGTCCACACTTACCACATGATTATCGTGCTCCAGGTGCCAGAGCGACTTGACACGCGTCACGAGCTGCGTTTTGAGACCGAAGGAGGCCTCAAATCTGTCGCTAAGTTTGACGCCCGCCGTCTGGACAACATCCAGACCGTAGAGCAGATACAAGATGACCTCGTGCTTGTTTTCCAAACCGGTGTTGAACGCCAACATCAAATGCATGAGAAAGTGCAGTGTTCGTGGTGGATAGGTGAGGGCCACGGCTGCACCGCCGCCCGTGTCCTGGCCAATGCGACGCAGCAGGCCATTGATGTATCGATTATCACCCACAGACGTGTGTCTATTGGCGTAGCTAGATTGTAGCTGAGCCAGAGCCGAAGGCTGATGCTGATCTTGCTCCTGCTGACCCTCTGGCACCAGTCCCCGTCCCCACTCAATGAAGAACAAAAGCACTCGCTGATAGGTGTAAAATGTGCGAATCCGCTGTGCATTATCCTCGATCTCACTGATGGTCGCAGGCGCCAGGCTGCGCTTGCCCAAGTTCACAATGAACGCCTGCAGGTTGTCCAAGTTGCCCAGCCGGCCATTGAGCACCTTGAGCTCCTTGCGCTCGCGCTCGCGCTCGTCCAGCGGATAGCCGCCGTAGTCAAAGATGCTTTCGCACAGCTCCGAGCAGCGCGTCTTTGTCTGCGCGGCGCGCTTCACAATCCAGGCGGTGACGGTCAACAGTGTGAGTTCTGTGGGAATGCACAGGTTGAACATGCAGCTGCCATCGATCCAGCCCTTGGCACAATGCCTCAGCAATCCCATGCAGCCGCGCTCGAGCGCCACCGACAGTATCTCCTCATAGATGGCCCGCTAAAAGGGAGACGAACCATTAGTACAATTTATGGATGGTATGTGTGGGTCCGGTCCTACCTTGGAGAATGTGGCATCGGGATTTAGCTCACTGAACGGAGGCATGAGACGCAGGCGAACAATATCCGCGTGCGTGTCATCCGCATACAGAAAAACGGTGGCATTCTGGCAATGCAATTTACGCAGAAAGCGATGCTGCGACCCCACGTGGACATGGTACTGGCCACCCCTAGCGGTAAGCAGGCACAAACCTAAACGAAAAGGATGCTCTAAAAAGTTCTTTGCCCAGATGCTCAGTTAGTGCCTTACCAAAGGTCAATGAGTTCGGATAGAAGTGCTCAGCGTAGCGCTGCAACGATACGAAATGCTTAATTGATCTGGCGTTGAGGTGAAGGCCGAGGCCTGGGGCCTTGCCAGTCAGCGTGTAGCCGACCACAAAGTAGGGCTCTCATCGAGCAGATGCCGGCAGTTGGGCATCTCGTCCTTGTACCACTGATTCATGTCGAAGAGCACCAGCTTGTTCGTCTTCTTCGGGTGCGAGTACCAGCCGATGATGACCAGCAGCATCAGACGAGCGCACGTTTCGGTGCTCTTGAAGTTCTGTGGAAGTGGCAGGCAGTTCAAAGACTGAGTGAGTGTCGATTTATGCTTGCTTTACCTTAAAGTAGAGTTCATTGCTCTGTGCGTCCGCATAGGAGTGTCTGTAGTGGATGCAGTGGAGCAGAGCGGTCGTCATGCTGGCCCCACTGTATAGGCCGAATATGAAGATGCACGGCTTGGGATCATCTGGCGGCACAACATCACAGAGTCGCTCCACACTGCAAGCCAAGTCCACCGGGGGACGTATCACACTGTGGTAATGTGAAAACTCTCCAGATCGTAGATCACAATGCGGCCATCCTTGAGGCCAACGGCAATGCCAGTGATGGAATTAACGCAAATGAGACAACGCACCTCGCCCTTGGCCACTGTGCCGCCGAAAGTTAATCAAAGAAGGAAATCGAATTCGAAATTAGAGTCAAAAATCATCGAAAAACAAAACCAAAACTCACCATCCAACTCCACTGCCAAGTTTATTTGCTCCATGGAGCACTCGGAGGAGTGTCTTCGGATCACCTGCCCACATGCGATCTCCCTCTCTGGGAGTCTTAGGTTCTGACCGCGACTTGCAATCAAAACGCTGCGTTTTATATCGCAGAGTAGAACAGCTCCCGAATCGGTGCCCACCGCCAGGCAGCCATCAAAGTTTTGGAGGCGCGTGCGCTGGCGGATTCGGGTGTCCACCAAGCTAATCGGCTGCAAGCAGGCAGGATTATAATACGAAACACCAGAAAAATTATAAATGGTTTACAAATTGTTGTGGACCCACAGTCCGTGGGCTGTGTTCTGTGTACTTACTGCGGTCGTCGTGGTCTGAACACTTTGAGCTTCGTTTCTCATCTACTTCCATTTCGAACCAATCCATTTTTACCATAACATCTAGGTGCACACTAAACAATAAGTAAAGCCTAGTACTAGTGCAATATATTTTGCTGGCAGCAGAGTGTGACCAGAGGTGAGAACCGCATTCCGTACGGTTGCACTTCTCAGGCAGTTCTATTGTTTTGTTTACCTTTTTGCAAATGTGTGAAAATTTAATAGAAGGTTAATAAAACAATGAATGCAAAATGGATCCGAATAGCATGCCTGATTTTTTTAGCGGCCCCTTTTTTCGATCTGAGCACTAGACTTTCCATTCTTCTTTCTTCTTCCTCTGTGTGCTCTTGTCGATATATCCTAGCTATCGATATGAGCCAGGAGCAATTGATCGGGCACGATCATTGACAGACAGCTGTGGCTATTGCTTATATTTATTTTTACGAATTGTTTTTTATTGAACTTTTATCCTATGGAAATAACGCACAAACAACTATTAGTTGGACTTATATCTCTAGATAGTGTGTATGTGTGTGTTCTATTGCTAAACATAGACAGAGCTAAAAGCGCACATTACGAATTTGTTAAATGCATCGATATCGAATCGAAGTGTGAAGAGTAGTTCCAGGATACGACGACTACAGAGACCACAATGATATCATAATAATCCTTAATGAGTATACAATCGGGGGGTACACTTACATACACACTCTATATATGGATGTATACGCGATTATGTATGCAGGCTATAATGGTATTATTTTTGTTGTTTGGGTTTTGGTTTTGGTTTTTCCATCACATCAAGAAGATTTTTTGGGTGTGTTGGCTGAGTGATTGACTAGGCCAAGTGTACATACTGTATATATGTAGGTAATACATATTCCGATATAGATGGCTAGCGCATTGGCCGCTGCTGTCCTCGGTCGTAGAACAAAAGGTAAGCGGGAACACTGAGCACCTCATCGATGGTCACCTCCCGCACAATCGTATCCGATGTGTAGAACCAACTGCAAGGCGTAGAGAGTTTTAGGCATCATCAGAAGAAGCGAGACAGGGAGAGACAGAGAGAGAGAGAGAGAGAATCACTCACCGATGGGCATTCCTCAGCGAGCCACGACGATAGGTGACAAAGTGTCCGCTGTTGGCCTCGCCCGTGTGCACCACCACGGCCAGCAGACGATACAAATTCTTGGGGAACATTGTGCCAAAGCCTTCGCCGACACCAACACCCACCACATTGTTCATGGGCAGGCTCGAGGAAAACAAGGACATTGTCGAGCCCCAGGGTGTGGTGGCCTGCAAAGAAACACACAGAAAATGAGGCTCCGCTTTGGGGATTGCCTGTGCCCAGCTTCACTCACCTGACTGTTCAGATGTGGCTGCACAAAGCTGTAGGGTGCCATGGACAGGCTCTCGGGAAAGTGCACATAGTCCCGCCGCTTGCACACCTGCCCCGTGGGCAGCCAGACGGTGCGGGCAATGTGGATGCACAGGCAGCCGGGGAGCTTGGCAAACGTCACTGACTTTGTGTGCGTCGTGGTCTCGTTGCAGGAGTCACACTTGACGTCGCTCAGGTCCTCCGACGTGATGTACTCGCTGAGCAGGTGGCCCAGGCTGAGGCCGGTGCGACGTTGCGCCGGCAAGTTGAGGATTACGCTATCGAACTTATCGTAGCGCACCGAGGACTTGGAGCCGCAGCCGTTGCACACCAGCTGGGCGCCCATGGCACCCTGGAAGGGATGGGCCACCTGGCTGGGCATCATGTTCGACCAGATCGACACGCGTCCGGGGCCGCGGTGGAGCCGCTCGAGGGAGCGGCAGGAGGCCGAGACGCGCCTGTTGAGGCCCTCGTTCACCTCCTGCGACTGTGGCTGGCGAGGGCGCGACAAGCGCTCCCCTCCACCCACAGTGGTGGGCGTGGTCAGCGAATCAATAGCCAGCGGTTGGCTGCACAGGGGAAAGCCGAACGGCTGCTGCCCCATCAAGGAGGTGCCGGGCGAGATGGCATCCAGCAGGGAGCCAATTCGATCGTTTCCCTCACGCTCGCAGACCGACGCCGGCGAGTCGGGTGTGTGCGCCTCGGAGCGCACCATTCGCGTCAGATTGGTCGACTCGTCGTAGTCGAGGTTGAGGAAATCCGTCAGCATGGCGCTGGATGGTCGATTCGGCTGTTCCCCAATCCGCTGGCTGGCACCGCCGCCCACGGCCATCGTGTTGTGTGGCCTGAAGCCACCGCCAGCTGGGGTTTCGATGCCAATGCTGCTGCTGGTGTCGTCGTCATGGCCGCCCGATGGTCCGGGCAGTGCGTCGGACAGACAGCCCAGTGGATGCGGCCGTATGGCCTCCTCCTCCAGCGAGGACAGCAGCACATGGAACAACTCGTGGGCATCGTGCTCCTCCTGTGGTATGACCCAGCCCAGGGTGTTCAGCGCTCGCAGTACCGCGCCTGGGGAATGTGGATCGCCGCGCAGGGTGGCGTGGGTGCCATTGATTACCTCCAGGGTGTTCAGCATGGAGCTGATCAGGCTCTTGCGATCCGGCGATGCTCCATTGTACAGCTGGAGCCAGGCTATGAATTGCGGACACGCGGCCAGCGCCTGCAGCAGCGTATTCAGGAAACATGTCCGTCCGAAATTATGAAGCCCTGCGATCTGGCCACGACGCTGACGCAACCGGGAACCTATAAGGCGGTCCGGGAACATTAGCAAAATGATAAAATAAACTTGTTTCCACCCACCTGAAGGTCCCCAGAGTACAAAGGCTCCAACGACGGCGGCCACCGTAACACCAGCAGCCATCAATATCTTCTCGCTCTCCATTTATTTCGCTCTTTCGGGTTACTTTGGGTGGACGGGCGAGGACCCTCTAGACCATTTGGTGGGCGGGTTGGTGGCAAAACGGTGGTCGTGACTGTTAAACTTTAAGTCAAACCACCTGCCAAACGTGACGCAGTCACTGATAATCCTCCAGAGGCCGCCGTATTTGGAGGAAATTAAGAAACCTACATTAATTTCTGTCGAACCTGCAGAAAAATTTGTCTGCGCTCCTGATGGTTGCTCGAGGATGCCCATTTGTTGGCTTAACGCTATTTTCTAACGATCTGGCAAGGCCAGTTGAGTCTCTATACTATCGATGCACAATACACGGTAAGCCGTTTGTTTTATAGGTTTTTCATTGCCATTTATTTCGTCTCGACTAAACTGCAAGCGCACATTGTTTAGGTTTTTAGTAGCAGTTTAGTCGCGGGTTTTCTTTCTGAAGCATTACATTACACAAAAGTATCGATGGTGAGCCATCGATATTTGTTACAGCTGTGTTTGGAATAGTTTTTGAATGATGGGGTAGGGGTGGGGAGCAGGGCATGAGAAGAAAACAAACAAAGCTGGCGCTGCGTAATGGAAGCCAGTTTCGAAATTGAATTGTGAAGCACCATTTATAACTCATTGGAGAGTTGTCAGCACAGTGGGTGCTCGTCTACACAGCATACAAATTAAAAATTTAAACAAAATTAATAAGTGACGGTTTTTCTTGGAACTCTTTTCTGGAACATTCTTTAGTCGAAAAATTCTGGTAAGTTCCAGAAGGAAATACGAGTAATAGTTTAGTGTGCACCCAAATCCCCAACCACCAACCACAACCCACCGTTGGCTGTCCTTGTGTCCATTTCACAACCTTCCCCACCTACCCCTACCCACCTATCGCCCTCCCTCCATTCCCTTCCAGCTGCCACTGCCCGTAGCTCAGCTGAGATTTTCTGCGCAATAGAGAAACAATTTTGTTCGCTTCTGTTTTCACTTTCTGCTTTATTGCGCTCTTTGTTTATGTCGCCCATTCGCTGGCTGGGCCTCAAAATTCAAAAGCAGAGGAACGCGCACTGCCCGTTCGTTGTGCAACTTGCTCCAATTTTCCGTATTTTACTTTTGGAATCTGTGTCACGAGATGCTGCAATAGGCAGAGCTGCAGCAGCATCACACATTTTTTACATTCATTTTTCAATTTCCCTCAGTTTATAGCCAGAGCTCGTAACGACAAATACATGCAAATGTACATCTAGTATATGCAGTGCACATATAAAATATTCAACCCACCGCAGTTCAATCAAGCAACAAGTACTCTTTTGTGATTAATTTGTTGTAATAATATTAATAAACCAATGGTAACTTTGCTCTTTTTCTGATTGGGAAAACAAGTTATTACCTTGGCCTTCGAATTAGATTTGCAACTACGGCAACAAAAACGGTAACTGCGGAGGGGTATCCGCCAGTTCTCTTTGTTCCGTTTTCTTTGTTCCCCAACAGCACACACACAGCTGACACACACGCAAACGCACATGTTTTAACCGTTATAACTCTGCTTCCGTATTTTACACAGGCAAACGACCGACCCCTTGTCTGATATCTAACAAAGAAACTGCAGGCGAAAAGTGCAAGCCAGAGACGAATTTGGCTAAAACCAGTTACAGTTACAGTTACAGTTACAGCCACAGACACAGGCAATTGATTTGCGTCGCAGTTGCCCGAACAAAGAAAACAAACATGGAGAAGAAGCAACAGCAGGAGCAGGAGCCAGACCAGAGCCCGAGCCCGAGCCAGAGCCCGAACCAGACCCGACTGGGGGAGCGCACCGAGAGCGAGAGCTCCGTGGACAGCATGACGCGCTTTGTGGTGCCCAGCCTGGATGGCAGCCCACCGAAGATTGTCACCATTGAGGAGGTGTCTGGCATATTCAAGGATCTCCGAAATATGGAGCTGGCCCATGAGATTGCCTTGAATCCGGACTTCAAGCTGAAACAGTATGAGCCGCCAACGCACAGGTAAGGCAACCCATTACCCGTACCCATTGCCCAGAGGTAATACCCGCGCAAATTTCGCTTGCAGCTTTGAGGGACGCGTCAAGGCAATGGTGCACAAGGCCTACTGGGATGTGTTGCGCACTCAGCTGGAGCGCCAGCCGCCGCAGTACGACCAGGCAATACGCCTGCTGGCGGAGATCAAGGAGTGCATACCCCAGCTGGTAACGCCCAACGAGCGCACGATCTCCCGCATCAACGAGGTGCTGGACACGGACGTCATCAGGCAGCAGGCGGAGCAGGGCGTGCTCGACTTCAAGGCCTATGCCGATTTTGTCATACTCATTCTGTCGCAGTCGTGCAGTGCGGCCAGGGATGAGGCCGTGGCCGAGCTGCGCAAAATGGACGATGTGGTGGACACCTTTCGCAGCATCCTGGAGCTAATGGCGCTGATGAAGCTGGACATGGCCAACTTCATGCTGGAGCTGGCACGCAAGGAAATCTCCGCCAATTCGGTGCAGTACGAGAAGGAGAAGCTCAGCAAATACCTGCACGAATTTCATGGCAAAGGTTCGTAGGCACCCCTCACACTCACACTCCCACTCACACTCCCACTCGTAATTGATCGATTCCCTTACCCGCAGTTGGTTTCCCCGCCACTGAGGACTGGCTGCAGCGCAATCGCTCGGATGTGAGCCAAAATCAGACCATCTACAATGGTTACATGGAGCTGATTGACTACCCGGGCGACAAGGACTTTCCCGAGCTTCTCCAAATGGACAAGGAACGCTTTGCGGGCATTAGCTGGCGTGCCCAGCGGCTCATACTCTGCGCCTCACTCATCTCGATTGCCCAGAGCCCACCGATTATTTCACAGCGTCCCAATAATCGCGTGAAACTGGCCAAGCAGCTGGAAATCATAATGCAGGACGTCAAGGACGAAACGTGAGTCGCTCGCCACAAATATTTCAACACGCAAATTCAAGTTGAGGCTCAACTTTTACAGCCAAGTGCCTGCGGCCCTGGAGAGCTGCTACGAGCAGATCCGCTGCCTGGTGAACAGCGCCCTGTCGCAGGAGCAGCAGCCGGACATGGACGAGGCCCATCTGGCGAGCCTGAAGAGCCAACTGATGCAGCTGAGCAACAAAACCTCACCAGTGCGCAGTCTCATGGGTGAGTTTATTCCACTCGATTGGCGCTAGAGAAGCTTCCTCATACTTTACCTTATTCCCGGCCCAGCCAAGCGCTTTGATCTGTTTGTGCGCGTGTCGCTGCGCGCCGACAATCACATTCCGCCACCGCCCGCGGGCTTCAAGGAGTTCGAGGATGAGCTGACTGCACTCATATCCTCGCTGCTCCGCTTGATAACCTACAACCATGCGGTCTTCGGGGAGCAGCTATTCAAGATACTGGAAAAGGCTGGTGCCAGCGCCAGCGCTGCAGAGTCGCCGTCGGAGCCTGCTGCAGCAGCACCCATGGGTGGCCGGGCCCAGGTGGCCAATCCTTAAACAGAGAGAGGGAGGAACACCCAAAAAGATGACAGCATTCAAGATTTTCTACTGGCAAACGCTTTGCAGGCGAACCCAGAGCAAGGGACAGCAAAAGGAGAAGGAAAAGCAGCAGGAACACGCCCATCGTACTGCACTTTCTCTATCCGTTTGTTTTGGCTCTTCAAATACAGATAAATATTCTTGATTTCGGATCCTAATTTAGTTATCTATGGAACGTAACACCTGGAACCCTTAACTCGACAAGAGCAAACTGTGCTGGTGCGGGAGCCTCTGTGATAGAAGATGGAACGAACATAAACATACAAAATATAAATGTAATGGGGCTAAAACGAACACTGGCAGCTGCAGAAATGGTTTATAATTAATTAAACATTTATATTTTATAATAATACCTAAGAACACTACTTATACCTATACTACCTACCTATTCAAGTTGTAAATCCCACTGATTGCTGATCGAATTTAGTCGAAGGTTCTATTGGTCTGCTTGGGTGCGTGGCAAGTAGAAGTGGGAGCTAACTTACATATTTATTATACATGAAATGCATGATATATACCTGCATATATGCATCACATCTATTCAGATATTTGTAGTTTAGCTGTACTAAAACATTGAGCTGAATACTGACTCACAACGATTGAATAAAAGTTATTGAATGTCTTTAAAATGAGAGGCCAGAAATGAACATTAAGTTAACCATAAGCAAAGCCGCAGAGAGACAATACTATCGACTGGGCCGACTTGGAAATATGGCAAGATCGAACACGGTTTAATTACAAAATCAAATTAAACAAATTTTCGCCCGCCATTTGACTTTGAAAAAAGCTAAAGCTAACGGGAAAAAGAAAAATCTGATCTGGCAACACTGCTCCCACTGTCTTGCCTTTCACTCTTTTAAACTGCACTTCCTAACTGAAAGCCCGTATTAAAACTCCAGCATGTGTCAGAACAGTGTAGATCGCTGATCATCTACGTTGCATAAGATAATCCAAAGCATCCCAAAGGCTTAACGAAGTGTTTGACAAAATTGAAAAGAAATAACGTGAAGGGGAACGTTGTGCGCGCTGCTACAGCTGGAAGGGGGTAGGTTATTACCCTAAGCTGCTAATCATTTGTTTCCCATATTCGATCAGGAACAGTAACGATCGGGTTCGGGTGTCCAAATGGTTTTCATAACAGCGTATGCTTTAATTTCGTGTTATTTTTCTATGACAGCAAAGCTGCCTGATACGAGCGATCATCTCCTCCCCCACCACTGATCGTTCCCAACTGCCAATTATGCACCCGATGCAATTATTTTAATTGGTATTTAATGCAGTCAAGTGTCCGGCGAACGGTCACATTAGACACAGGCCACGATCAGAAGAATCAAATAACAAAAAAAAAAAACGAACGGATTAATAACAACAAACGAGACAGAACAAAGTGCAAAATCAACAGAAAAGAGGAAAAAAAGAGTATAAAATCCCACACGAGAGGCAAGACCACGTGATTTGTTGACACGTATGGAGCGAAGGATGAATCTCTCTTTCGCCGGCTGTGGCTTCTTGGGCATCTACCACGTGGGAGTGGCCGTGTGCCTCAAGAAGCACGCGCCGCAGCTGCTACTGGAGCGGATTGCTGGCGCCTCGGCCGGTGCACTGGCCGCCTGCTGCCTGCTCTGCGACCTGCCGATTGAGACAATGGCCGCGGACTTCCTGCGGGTGGTGGGCGAGGTGCGACGACACCCGCTGGGTCCCTTTAGTCCCTCGTTCAACCTGCAGAAATGCCTGCTGGAGGGGATGCAGCGCGAATTACCCGAAGATGCACACGAGAGGGTCAGCGGGCGGCTGCACATCTCACTGACGCGTGTGCGGGACCGGTGCAATGTGGTGATGTCAGAGTTTGGGTCGCGCCAGGAGCTGCTCCAGGCTCTGCTCTGCTCGTGCTTCATTCCGGGCCTCTCCGGGCTGATGCCGCCACAGGTGCGGGGTGTCCGCTACATGGACGGCGCCTTCTCGAACAACCTGCCGCTGCTGGACGAGCACACGGTCACGGTGAGTCCCTTTTGCGGGGAGAGCGACATCTGTCCGCGGGACCGCAGCTCGCACCTGTTCCACCTGAACCTCAACTGGGCCAACACCTGCATCCGCATCTCGCGGCTCAATCTGTGCCGCATGGTCCGCATCGTACTGCCCGGTCGAGCCGAGTTTCTATCCGCCTTCTGCCAGCAGGGCTACGACGACGCCCTGTACTTCCTCAACCGCAACAACCTCATTGGACGCCTGCAGGAGTGGGACCAGTGCCAGGAGCGCCATCTGCCGCTTGCGGTGCGCCACACCATTGACGTCTACGTGGAGCAGGCCAACAAGGAACTCGGCCAGTGGCTCCTGGACCCCCAGTCGGGCATTCAGCTGTTCTGCCTGCCCTCCGCCCTGCTCAACGCTGTCGCCCGACTCGCGCCGCCACTGGCCAGGCAAGTCGTCCGAATGATCGGACGCCGCCTCAGCCGGTCGCTGACGTTATGCGAGCAGCCGCACTTTGATCTCGGCCTGCTGATGATGCACTGCAGTTCAGTAGTTCCGCTGCCGCCGCCACGCACACGACATTCTAGTGATAACGATGACACTGCTGGAATCAGGCTTCCACAAATATTGGAGCAGAATGAGGGCCACTGCGAACGTGTAAGCTCTGCCTCTGTCTTCCACCCGACACAGCCCTCCTCCCCAGAAGAGACTAAGACGCCGACCGATTTATGAATGATGTGATCTGATTGACAATCTCTATCCGGGGTTAAATGCGCTTCAATTGTGCATTTCTCAATTGTTTTGTTGCTGCTCTTTTACTTTCTGTGATTATCCCGTTACGAGTGTGTCGCTCTCTTCTCTAGTGTAAAGAAAAAATGAACAGCAAAGAGCAACAAGTTGCGGTCTCCTTGCTGCGAAACTGCTGGATGTGTTATAATTTGTATTGAATCTCAATTCTGCTTTCGATGCGAAAGCTGACTGCTGTGACACCATTAAATATGAAAGAAACTAAATAAATGCTATACAAATAAAATATATGTTAAATGCTATAAATAAATATAACTATTATACAAAAAATGATTTATTAATAATTACCGGTCATATTAGGAGTTTTTCGACACTTGATGATTCTCTAATGCCACTGTATTTTCACAACTGATCCAATGATTTGTCTGCTCTTTGCGCTTTGCAACCCGTGAGAGAGAGAGAGAGAGAGAGCGATTGACGAAGATACTCTTCTCCCTGACAAGTTGAGAAATACAGAGCGACCGCAGGCATAGCAATAATAACAGTAAAAAGCAAGAAAGAGAGAATCATAGAAATCACGCCACTTTCTGTACTTTGCCCTCTGTCGCCGACGGGAGACTCACTCACTCGCTTTTTTCTTGCTGATTGTCCGCTGTCACGCCTCTTCCGCTGCCTCGCTGCCCGTCCGACCGTGCAACCAGTATAGGCCAGGGATCATCCTGAGTGAGGCTTAATCACTTTCCTCTCCCTGCCTGCCTCCTCATTTGCCACTCCATCGGCGCTCTTTGGGTGTATGGGGTAAATTATTTGTTTTTGCTTGAACGTCAAAAATTGTGATTACGTTTATTGGTCTCACGATCCCGTTTTCGTTCTCTCACTCTTTGATAAGAAATTTCGCTGATGTGGTTGCCAACTGGCTCCCACCCCTGCACCCCATCCCAAACAGACACACACATGCTCGTGCATCGTCATCGCAGGTTGTCGGAAAGGGAGAATGGATCCAAAGTCGAAGCTCATTAAGATTTCTACACTCATCCATTGGTACATACACTTTGCGGTTGGCAATTCCATCACAACACCACCCATCATATGATCGTGATGATTACAATCTCTGTTGATCGTGTTGATTATGCACTCAAGTCTAGATAACAATTATAATTTGCAGTGCAGAAGTTTCAAATAACCTTTGCATCTACAGCTACTTGTATGTATGTACATATGTATTTACATACATTACAGGTGCCTGGGACAGTGCAGTTACCTTCTCTGCACATGAGTATTTTGGGTGCAAAATCATTGAGGTTTGGTTGTGGATTCTAATTGATGTACCTAAAATGTATGTACTTACATAAATGATGTACCTAAACCAGCAGACGCTACCAAATCTTTACGTGATAAAGAACTTCAACTTGGCATTTTTGGCCTTGCATTTTCATCAGCATTCAAAACTAGCCACATCAATTATCATCCTTTAATGCCCTCTTCAATGCTAAATTCTTAAATTCTTCAATCCCGATGCCGCTTCGAGTTTAATTTATTTGCCATGAATGGAGTAAGGTGTTGGCAGTGTGGAAGCTGTTCATTTTAATCCAGACTGCTTGCTAGGGCAGGTAAGCTCTGCTTTGAACTGCTTAGAATTTGTTGTGACTGTTAAGTTTATAAATGATGTATGTGCGTGCGTTTGGGAATACCTGTTTTAAGAGTATACAAAAAAGTCTTCAAGAAATATATGTACATAAATACAATATGTATTTGCTAGCTGCAGTTGGTTGGTATTGATTAAGCTGCGGTTTCGGTAACTGGTTTCAGTCAAACCGCTGAGGCAGCATCCACCGTTCTAGGGGGCTCCTCGGCTTGGGCAAGAAATAAGAAAGAAACAAAGAAAAAGAAACCAACCACAGACTACCTTTTCTGTTGCATTCATTCTCCTGACTCATGAATATTTGTGTGTGCCTTAAATGCAATTCACAAATATTTCTGCAGGTTGTAGGCTCAAAATAATTCCAAGTATGTCAAGGATGCTACCGAGCAGGAATAACGCCGGTGTTGGCTGGGCTGCGGACTGGAGAGACTGGCCTGTGGGCCTGTGGGCCTGCATGCTGCGTTCTCGTTTGGGGCCACACTTTAAATTGATCGAAGCCGAGCAAACATCGAGCATACAAATGAGAGGCGCACCAGACAAACGCGGACTGTGAGAAATGCAAAGGAAATTTCAGAGACGCCGACAACGGCTGCCCCCAACTGCAAAAGAAAAAGACAAAAAATAAGAGGTAATTGGCTGGGCCATTAACGCCGTCGTTATCGACATGGAAAGTGCACAACAAGTCAGTTGCCAGATCGAGGGTCTCTCAAAGCTACCTCGAATAGAATTTGCAGATGGAAACCATCTTATCTGTGCCGCTCCATAAATTCATTCGATCCAGAACGAACCGAACCGCACACCAAACGCTATCCATATAAATCAGCACACTGCGAGCAGGCATCTGCCCGATAAGGCCACAAATCATATGCCAGCAAAGACCCCGCTTATTGTACAATACAATTGTGCTCTTAAGATTGCCACCATAAACATTTGTGTCCCTTGGCTCTAACGCTCTTATCGCTGAACTGCGTAGCGTAGAGTGGAGTGGAGGGGAATACAAATGCAAATTGTGGAGATTTGTTCTTGTTGTTCGTTCCAGTTTTACGTTGCTTGTTTTATTAATATTTTTTAACATTATAATTATCATAATTATTAAGAGCCGACTTTATGGCTACATTCTCCATACATGGCTACAAAATAATATGTGCGTAATGTGCATAATCCATATTCATTTATAATTAGGCATCGGCTGGCTGGGTGCCCAGCCAAGTTAAATAAAAGTAGAATTAGTTATTACGAGTACGTGTATAGCTAGGGCACAAATGGCTATCGGATAGGCATATGTAGGTGCACATGGGTGCATCATTTATCATTTATTATTTATTCAATGCATACGTGGCACTTGGAGCGAGTATTTACCTTCTCGAATTTAGCACAGCTAAAAGTGGAAAATAAATACAACAAAATGTGTAAGAATTTCTTTCGTTGTCTTCTCTCTTGCCTTAAGAACTAAAACTTAATCTTTATATAGAGCATGTGTGTGTTTGTGTGTGTGTGTGTGTGTGTGTGTGTGTGTGAGGGTTACTTCAAATAAATATTTACAAAGCAAACATTGGCGGGGTGGGGTGGGGTTTGTTATAACAGTCTAAAATTAGTTAGCAAAAACCTTTTCCACTTCCTTGATCTGATCACCATCCACATATTTCTTGGACAGTTTTTAATTAGGAAAAAAAATTGGCAAAAAAAAAGATTAAAAGAAATACAAAAATGGGTGTGGGGTGTGGGGCGTGGGCGTGGCTGTGGGATAATTGTATGCAAATATCTAGCATATAGATATAGAAATAACTGGGCTCCAGCAAGTGGTATCCGTCCGGAGTAACTTTGCTTCCTTCTCCAACAGAATCCTTACTGAATCGGCTGGGTGGAAGATGGTTTGCTCTGTCTTGGTTTGCTGGTCTTGGAGTTCGAGCTGGTTGCAGCTGCAGCAGTGGTGGTGGCGGTGGCGGTGGCGGTGCTGCTGCTGCTTGTTCCATACGGCGAACAGGTTTCCCCAAGTGTCGACTGCTCGACATTTGTGCCCATCGATGAGTTGATAAAGTTGATGTACTGATGCAGCTTGAGTGCGGCTATCAGGGAGCTCAGATAGTCGTTGATGTTGCCCTTTTGGACCTGCTTGATCTGTCTGGAGACATTTCGATAGACGCGACGAGAGATCTTGTTGGATAGTCGGCCAACGGTCTGGACTGTGTGTAAGACTGGATCCTCGCTGGCGGAAACTGGCACTGCAATGATCAAGGATAGAACCAACTTTAGCTTGGGGCGAACCTCTTCAGATATCATCTTTTTGAATGCACATTCGGGTGGATGGATGGGTTTGGGTTGGGTGCTTGGGATGGGAGTGGTGTGGAGGTTATTTAGCTTCGCTTACCATAAACTTGTTGAGTTCCCTATCGATAATGTTTATGATCTCTGGATTTCTTCTAACGTACTCAACAATTTCGGTTATGATTTTCAGGGACATGGATAGGAATACCGTTGAGGCGGCCACTAAGAACCTATCATCAATCTCTCGATCGTAGTCGTTGCTCTCCCCAACAACCACAACTAACAAACAGCACACACAGAAAGAGATAGATAGAGAGAGAGAGAGAGGGAGAGATAGAGAGAAAGATTAGTCATCTGTGCAACAGTTAATTTAGAGTTAATTTCGAGTGGTTGGGGGAGAGTCTAGGACTGGGACTGGGACTGTGACTGTGACTGTGACTGGAAACCCCAAAATCGTAAATTGAAAATAATTCTTTAGCTTTTTTCCTCTCACTTAATGGGTGTAAGTATTGTGGGTTGTATGGTAGATTATTATTGTTATTATTAGTCTTCTTTTTTTGTTGCATGCGTTTTAGTGTGGAAACTTTGTTAGATTGTTAGAGTTACAAACGAACAGATAAAACGATCCAAAATTGATCGCAGCGGACACAGGCAAGCGATATTGGCAGTAGGGAGGAACGGAACGGAATGGAACAACGGAACTTACTGTCATTTTCGGAACTCTTGCCATTATGCGCGACGGCATTTTGTTTATCATCTGAGAATTAAAAATATTTACGATTTATATTTAGCATTTTGTTTACACATGCACAGCACACGCCATCCAGGCGCAGGCCAAGAGGAAAAACAACAATAATTTCGGGCCAAAATGGCAATGGAAGCTAGCCAAAATGCCGCCGCCCCCCCCCAGGCAGCATCGGTATTGGTTTCTTTTTGCATTATATCATATGATGGGGCGTCGTCCAATGCATGGATGAATGGTTGGATGGGCAGAGGGGCCATCAGGTCATCATTGGCACTCACCATTATCCTCTTCGACATCCGACTCGCTCTTGGGGAAATAGTACTCAAGGAGTCGCTCGGCCAGGGCTGTGGTGGTGTCCACACCATTGACGGCCAGGCTGCCGTACTGGGTGGCCAGCACCTCGTTGGCCTTCTGCCAGGCGAGATCCTTGAGGGAGGCGGCCTTTTGTTGGCCGGCAGCCTTGAACTTGACCACGCGCTCCAGGTGCGGCTGCACCACATCGATCACCTTGCTCTTGGCCTGGTTGTAGATCTCTTGGGGTGTGTCCTTGATTATGGGCGCCTTCACCTCCAGCTTATCGATGCCCTTGACGAGGGTCTGGTCCACGAACGAGATCGGGCGATCCAATTTAGTCACAAACGGCGCCGCCGTTGTCACCGCCCGGGTCACGCAATCCTCGGCTGCCGTCAGCGCCCATTCGAAGACGCGATTCTTGCCTAAAAATAAATCAATCCAGAGATCTTTTAGCCTATGAAACTTCTGGAATGATGTACAATGTGAACGCGTAGTGCGATAAGCCGGGCCACTTATCAACAGCCGCTGCAACAACAGCAACAGGGGAAGGAGGAGGAGGAATGTCACTCTTGACTGATAAGCAACTGCGCAGTATGTATTTGTAGGGCCTCTCTCTCCCTCTTTCACCCTGGAACTAGGTTCTGTCTATCTCTATTTATTTGTGTGCGTGTGTGTGTGTGTGTGTGTGTGTCTATCTATTCGTCTGACAAGTTTAGACTTTGATAGTTCGTCATACAGCAAACATCATCATTTCAGCAACAACAAAGGCAAGAAACCACAGAAGCACCGCAATATTAATTCTGCTTTGCTCTGTGTAAGTGTGTGCAATAGCGAACGGAATATCACAAACAAGTCGAAAGTCCAACTACAGACAGTGGCGTGGGCCGACAGGGTGACTGCGACCGCATGCGTAAAAGCCACTGCACGAGAGCCCAGCCCCCATCGCGTCTGTCGGCTCAAATTGCAGTTAAATGTGCGAAAGAGACATGGATCCAGACAGGGGCGTGGACCCACAGGGTGCCTTCGACAGCATGCGTACCACCACAGCACGATCCCCTGTCGGATAAGATCATTAAAAATGTATAACTACACACATGTGCATGCCCTTTATGTTCGTGTTCGTTTGTGCCTGAGTGTATGAAACGTTTCAGACTACGTGTTTTCTCTCTTCGCTTTTTGGATTTTATTTGCCGTTTTCTTTTCGATTTTGCTTAGTTTTGTTATGTAAATTTCAGCGAACTTTGATCGCAAATCGTCACGAGGGCAAAGTGCCGTACCAAAAAATAGGCATTTGTACCTATTATGTGTGTGAGTGGGTATTGTATTTTTTGTATTGTTTGTTCTTGCTAGGTCATGGTTGTTGTTGCTGTCACGACGGCTGTGATTTTGATTATTGGCTACTAGCAGTCAATTAACATCAATTGAGTTTAATTTTGGCCCATTGTCGGTCAATCAAAAAAATTATGGTTCGCCTTTGGCTCTCTGTTCACATTCGGAGTCGAACTCGATTTTGGCACTCAAAATGGCGATCAATGCACTCGAAAGCTGAAACAACGGAACAGTGTTCGTTTTCGGTTTCAATTGCATTTGCTTTTGCTCTATTCGCTGTGGCCTGGCAATGCCGTAAAGGGGGGCACCGTTACCTGACCGGCCGAGAGGTCAATGCACGCAAAAGGGGGAATTGCAAGCACATTGTTTTATGACTTCCACTTACCTTTAACTTTGCCGTAGACATCCTGCGATTTGTCCCAGGCTGCATTCACCACCGGCAACTTGATAATGCGCTCCAGTGACTCCAGATGAGGCAATAGATCCTTGGCATCCTTGGGCTGCTCCTGCTCGGAGAGAGCGCTGTTGATTTTGTTGTTGGTGTTCTTGGCTGTGCCGTTGCTGCCCGTGGCGTGTTTTTGCTCTGCACTTGCCATTTTTCTTTCTCTATTTCTTAGTCTTTGCTTAGTTTTCACTTTTTCTCTTGGCTCTTTTGCTAGCCGCGGCACTTTTTCTCCTTTCTTTCGTTTGGTTTTCCTCGGAGGGGCACAAAAAAAACAGTTTTGCTTTGGTGTGTCTGTGTTCAGTGTTCACACCACCGGTTAAAAGAACTTGGTTGATGGCGAAGAAATTGTGTATTAATTTATACGAGCACGTCTGTTCGCTTGTGCTTTTTAGAAACTATAGATTATTCTTGTTCGACAATATATTTTTACTTGAGATACGTGAGATGTATCAACGGAACAACTTTTCTACTTTTCTGCTAAAAGCGCGGCATGCACGGTCCTATATATCACCAAACGGGCTCACTTTTGCGACTCATTTATGCGTGATCGTGCTTAACCCACTCGGGCCCCCTCTATTTAAACATTTGATCAGCTTGAGTTAAACCGAGGATAACACAACTGTTTGTTAATTTTTCTAGTAGATCCATCACAATCTTCCTTTTCTTGATAAAAAAAAATATACACGATATATTCTACCTGAACTGCGATAAAATTATTTCACTACTTATGTGCTTGGTGTGTATTTGAATTCCCACTGGTCAACAATGGGTTAAACGTTCTCTGTCTTTGATCGGCAAACGCATTCCTCGATTTTGGTCTTCCATTTAATATTATTAGCTAGCTAAAAGCCTCAGCCCTGAACACCCAATGTTATCCAATTGATAAATAAATTTTCTATATAAATGGCTAATTTTAAATACGGTTGCTTTCTAGATTGTGTCAAAATTAGGGTTTAAGCAAAAAAGGTCAACCAAACAAAGAACTATGAAATGCAAGTGTGCTCGCCATGCTACGTCATTGTTGCTGGTCCACCAAGTTCAGCCATGAGTATGGACACTTTAATACCCTATTTCCATTAGTAATTGTAAGAACTATGTATTATTAATGTCTTTTGCTCAGATTGACATTTCTTTACCAATTCATTTATCGTTAGCCTTCCCAAAGGGTATGCTGAATGTTGTACAAAGAGACATTTGCCTGAAAACCATAAACGTGATGTAAAAAGTCTGAATAATAAGTAATGGGGTTCGATGGAGACTTGGGACTTGTGCCTTTAGGTGAAATTTGTATCAATATTTTCAAGTGGAAGAGAGGCCAGAGAGAGTTCTGTTAGCTGGTCATGCTTATGCTTGACAACTAGATTAATACGAAGAGCGCTGCTTCTCGCCGTGCGCCAAACCCAAGTCTGTGGGTGTGTGTGTATATGAGGGGGCACTTCCATTATCAATGGGCATTGGGAAGCACGCAAATGCTTCGTGAAACCTTTGACCAGCTGCGGGCCGCAGACCCCAGGCCCCAACGCATCGATAACGGTTACTGCACATTTCCCTCCCTTTTTCTCTCTCTCTTACTCTTCCCGCTCTCTTTTAGGTGTCAGCTAATATCATACGTAACTTTGTGCTGTGTAATTCTACGGCGGATTCCAAAGTCCGGCAAGTCCTGTCCAGCTATTAAACGGCGCCAAGGGCAGTACATACATACATACATATTTATGTAAAATTGTATGTATGCCGCTTTCTGATAAGATGTAAGCCAGACGAGACGATTCCACTGGGACGATTGCTATGCGTAGAGGGGTATTCACATTTTGATTCCAAAGTCCAGATTGTACATTGTCGTCATGACGTTGTTTATGTTGTAACCATCAAGCGCAGGTGCTGTCTTCCGTCGATTGCCTATCGCCAATTGGTCTGACCATGGATATGGTTGGGTTTGGGGTTGGGGTTGGGGTTGGGGCTGGCCAGTGTTCTTGGAGGCTAGCGACGATTCCATTCCCAGATACCAACTATTAATAAACCATGCAAGGGAATCATTGGTAATGGTTTGGTTCATCGGTAATTCGATCGGTACGTACATATTTATGTATGAAATACCTTGCGAACGCTACATGCCACATGCTGAACTGCTTGACAATAACAAGCAGTTCTCTTGCAAATCTCTGGCTCTCCGCTATCGCGGACAAGAACATTTCGGTCCATTAAAATTATTCCCAATGTTTGGAAGTAATTTCCGTAGTCTAAAATTTGTTTGTTGGACAATCTGTCCCATCGAGAGAGGGCGGGGAGGGAGCATCTAGCGTACATTTTGGCAGAGACCTAGGCATTCTCTATATATAGAGTGGGGGGGATAAACATTCGTAACGATATACTCATTCGGACTTTGAATCAGCGGCGAGTGAGTGGCGAATGAGTCGTTGGTTTATTTCATTAAAATTGTATTTATTTCCTTTTTTTTGTATTTCGCTTGCTTTTCAGATAGACTGTGTCGGCCTGATAAGAGTGTTTAAATACTCTTTTATTGTTACCTTTTTTGTTGTTTTTGGTTTCGTTTGCTTCAACCATTTAATGCCTTTGTTTTATAAGTGGCGCCGGCTATCATTATGGAGGCATATAAACCTTTAAGCCACTCAATTAACATTGTTTCGCTCTGCTAATCGCTTTTTAGTGACACCCCAGGTTCAAGAATTGCCTCAAAGTTCACTCTGGGAAATGTCGCAGAAATGTCTGTGGCTCACTCATGATAAAAACCCAATACAGAAAGTATTGGAAGTTTCTTTTGCCTGTCCTTGCACTGCTTTATATTTGGCTAAAAATTCTAAGGGGAGTGGGGGGCATGTGTGCACTGCTTAAGTATTACAATTAATTCGTCATAGTGCAAAAAACAAAACCGCAGAACCAGAGGAACAAAGTCATCCGGCAGCTTTGGACTTTGAACTCTCTACGTGTTCTGACGAGCTTGTTGTCTGGTTGGTCGGGTGGCGGGTGGCCGCCGGGTGATGACGACAACTCCCCTCACCCCTCACCTCTTGCGGCTGTGGGACGATGCGACGCGTCGTCGTCGGCTTTGGAGCGCGTGTTTTATTTGAGAGAAGATGGAAGATGGAAGAAGAAAAGGAAACAAGAAACAAGAAACACAAGCGAACAAGATTCAAATATAATTCTTGGACTAAATTTAGACGAGACCAAAGAGCAACTCTTGGGCATACGTCATGGCATGGCATGGCATGGCATGTCATGGCGTGTGGTTAAATGTGTGGAACAGAGATCCAAAACTGGAATATTCCAGTAAAAAAAAAAAAAAAACAAAGGGTGAAAAAGCAGACCGGCGGCACTGTCTGGACTTGAGACTGCACTTTTAATGTGTATTATCGTTTGAGAGTCAGTAATAAAAAGTATTGGGGTGGGGGGATACTCGTCTCCTAATCGTAGAACGACCAAGAAAGCAAATCGGAAATGTGATATCTCTCGAGTGCTTTATCAAACGAAATTTTGTTTGTACGCTAAACGGCTCAATAATAAACATTATTCGGGTTGTGATGGTGATGTCGTTAGATCAAAAGGCGAATTCCCACGCCAAAACATATGAATCTCTCTATGTAAATAAGCACAGGGGAACGTATGTAAATATGTATTAACATATGTATACAGCTGACATACGTGGAATCCAAACTGGAAGAGGCAAGGGCCGTCAGCCCCGATTAAAGTATTTAACTTAAATCTGGAAATTTCTTACGACAACCCCGAAAGTATGCTCTAAAATATGCAAGTACTACAATTAGTTTGCGAGTGCAAGGCAGCGCCCTCTGGGGAAAAGTAAAAGTTTATAGCAACTTTCGGTCAAAACTTTGACCAACAGAGACCGCTTAAAGGCAATTTGCGGCTAAAAATAGCTAATCGATAGCACTACTCAACAAAACATACTTTTTATTTACGCTTCGAAGCAAACCGACTTTGGTTAAAACTATTAAAAATGCTACTGCCATAGAAAAAAATATCATGCAGTTGTAAGCAGCCCCGAAATCGATCAATAAAAGTTAGTTTAGTTGTTGGTTGGCCCCACAAATTGTGCTGAGTGGTGTAGTCAATTAACGCAGTATCAACCATTATTTAATGCGCACATTTGTGTTAATAGTTACGCTTATCCTCCCCTCCCTCTTGGTGCGCTGGGAACGTGGAACATTTTTAAAGAGAGAGAAATGAAAGGAGACAAGAGAAACGGCACATGAAGTTTACTCTCTTCCCCATTCGAGTTCCCTCTGCTCCACGCTTAGCTGCACTCAGTTAGCACTGCTTGCTCTTCGTATCCAACTAACACTCGTTTGGCTCGGACGCTTCCGTTTGTATAGCCTTTGTCTTGATATTTGTTTTATGGTCTCTCATTATACTTCTTGTTCTTTTTGTTTGCTCGGTGACCTTGGTGTTTCTTTTTTGGCTGTTGAGTGCTGTGCCATGATGAGTGGCAAAATTTAATGCCTCGACTGCTTCAGGTTTACAGTTTGAACGCATCGCAAAAGATCAATCTTGCACTGCTTCAACTGCTTCGGCGCGCTGCCCATACCCATGCCCAGCCCTTCTGGAATATTCCAACAATTAGGCATGATTATACGTCAATACTCGGTCCTGGGAATCGGCTCAGCTGCTCCATTTCTATACAAACGCTGGACACAATCTGACCGCCCAGTCGCCTGCCAAAACTTGCCGAGAACAGGCCTGAGAGCCGCCACAAATAATTACCCTAAATGGAAAACAATACACTGGTTACTCCCACTCCCACTCCCCTGCGTTTGACATTGCTGGACAGGTCGAATCCCGTGTTCGCCTGCTACCTGGTGTGGATGAGTCTGCTGGTGCTGAAAATGCTGTGCATGTCGCTGCTCACTGCCCGCCAGCGGATGCGCACCAAAACGTTTGCCAATCCCGAGGATCTGCGCCTCAGCAAGAACAGCGAGGTGCGCTTCGGCGACGACCATGTGGAGCGAGTGCGTCGGTAAGTCGGTTGTCGTGGTGTCTCATCGTTTTTGCATCAGCTTTGCTTCTGGCCGCATTGCAGGGCTCATCGGAACGATCTGGAGAACGTGCTGCCGTTTATGCTGATGTCCCTGGCCTATGTGGCCGCAGGGCCGCATCCGATAATCGCTCGAATGCTCATACGCATCGGGGCAGGTGCCAGGCTGCTGCACACCTTCGTCTACGCTGTCGTGCCGGTTCCGCAGCCGGCACGGGTCTTGGCATTCTCCACCACATTTGCGATTACCTGCTTCGAGGCGGTCTATGTGCTCGTCTGCTGCATCAAATATATCTAGAAGGAAATTGCCATTAAGTAGTGAACCCCCACACAGCCCACCCACCCCCGCTCGGCACTCCGCACAACTTTGCATAAAGATTCGACGCAAATACATAACCAGTTTGAGCACTAGCTAAGGGGAGCTGAGAGTTGTTTCTAGACGGATGGCACACTCGCTCTGGTCAGCTTGAATCGTACGCACGCACCTACAGCTCCACGATGTCCACAAATAGCAGCCAGATGCCATACCACCTGGATAATCCCATCTTCTGTTGCTATGTGTTCTGGTCCACGGTGCTGGTTGCCAAGATGCTGCTGATGTCAACCCTGACGGCCGTGCAACGCTTTCGTTACAAGGTAAGTGGAGCAGCAGCAGCCGCAGCAGCCAGCAGCTGCAGTTGTTCAAGCCGCGCCTCATCGACTATTCACAGCTTCTGGTGCTGGTTCCGTTGGGACTGAGGCGCAAGGTAAACCAGTTTCGCGCCTCACACGTGGTCTGTGGCATTCCCAGTCAGATCTAAATGCTGTCTTGTTGTCTGCCCCTACAGATATTCCCCAATGAGGAGGATCTCTTCTTCAAGAACACCGAGGTGCAGTTCAATGATCCACATGTGGAGCGTGTGCGCAGGTAGGTGCTGATACGTAGTGCTGTTATATCATGTCTCTCTCTCATCGATCCACTCGCAGAGCCCATCGCAATGACATGGAGAACATTCTGCCGTATTTCATCATGGCCCTGATCTACATCGGCACCAATCCGGATGCCACAGTGGCCTGCAATCTGTTCCGTGTGGCCTCGGTGGCCCGCCTTGTGCACACGCTGGTCTACGCCGTGTATCCTGTGCCGCAGCCAGCGCGGGTAATCGCCTTTGCCAGCATGCAGCTCATCACGTTTTACATGGCCGCCGTTGTGGCCTTGCGCACTCTTAGATTTATCTGAATTGTAGCGCTATCTCTCTCTCTCTCTCTCTCTCTGTGTGTATTAGACAAGAACACATTTGGCCTGAACCGATTTGGCTTTCAATTAAGTTACGACTATAATAATTATCATGAGATACAACAGAAACAAACAGGGGGTTGGGGCTGCAGCTGTAGCCGTTTAGATGTTAAAGCCGGCATCCCGCATGCACTGCTTGTGCGCCTCTATCAGTGCCGTGCAATTCTCCTCGCCGCGCTCCACCATGCTGTTTTTGGGAGAGTGGAGTGTTCATTAGAAGTGTTGCGTCACATTTACACTGGTGTGTGTCCTGGCCTGCACACTTACCACTGGTCACGTGCCCGCTTGGTCTCCGGACAGGCGCAGCAGGCCTTGCACTTGGGTTTGGCAGCAGTGCCGGCACCGGAAGCACCGCCAGTCGCGACATTTGGTTCTGAGGCAGCGGCCTGAGCGACTTCTACTCCCTTGGATGTGTTGCTGCCCATTGCTGATGAAATTGCTGTATGTCCGAACACAAGTGTGTTTAAAGTGAGGGTTTACTTTCGCTGTCGTTTGTTTATGTAATAAAACTCAAAATATTCATTTCACAACAAATCGAACAGTGTGACCGCGGAGTTATCGATCAAATATACCGAAATATACCCTTGCATCTTCAAAATATACCGTAAAATATACCGTGAATCTAAAATCATTTTGCCCGATTTTGATGTTCCATTTGACATTACCATCTGGTTAGGACTCTCAGCTGATTTTCTGAAATATCTTTCCTCAATTGAAGTTCTAATTGCTATACTTAATAATATATGTAAATCAATTTAATGAACTGCTTTTCTCGGGTCTCTATAATTTGCAACTTTTTAAAAATTATTTATTGAACTTGTGACTGTTTCGAAGCATACCACTTCTAAATCATCAGCGATCTTTTCTCTAAATCAATTATTTGGATCGGAACATAATTCGCTTAGACTATTGCAGATTCTATTCATATTTTTTAATGGATCTGTTTCAATATTAACAATGGGTCCCATAGCAGTAGATTCAATTGCAAACATTTTATCAACTGTGGAATTGAATCCGATTGAAGAATCTCCGCGTAACAGCTGCCACCCTTTTTGATATTTGAAAATATGGCAGCGTTGCCAGTTGTCGAAGTATCGACAGGGCTGCCAGAGCTGCCCTTGTCTTTTCGCGCCAAAGAGTGCAGCGTTTTTCTCTCTTTTCGTTGTGTTTTATTGTATTTAATACTTTAATTTTGGAATTTCAAATTCGAACATAGAATCAGGTAGATTGGGGGTTACACTGGGTTGGGTGGTGGTGTAGCAACTGAGTGGGGGAATAACTAATATGTGTAATTTGTGTGTGAATCTACACCTGACACTGACCCTGACACTGATTGTTACATGTTCGCTTTGATTGAGGCTAAAGGCAAGTGTGATTGATCCCCGGGGATGAGCCCCAGACGAAGGCGCAGCACGGCGGCGCTAGTGTACAAAAAACTCGACAAATTTGAAGCGTAACTCCGGAACTAGCTCAACGTGTGCGTAGACAAATCTCTTGCAGCTTGCAGGCTGGCTTGCGCCAGCGACTGCTCCTAGCGCACCAGAGGCAGCGGCTCCAGAAGTTTGGCCGTCCAGGCCTGACGATCCTCGACATTCTCGACGTGGCCTCGGCCCAGGCACTTGCCCTGCGAGATCAGCTCGGCGAACTGAGCGACAATGGGATCACGGCCAACGGACGCCACAGCCGTCACCGTGTCCGCCTCGTTCACGAAATACGCGACAAACTTGAAGTCCGCGAGGCTGCCGTCGATGATGACGTCCTTGTAGGAGCCGTGGCCAGCGTAGCGGATGCCCTTGCCGAATATCATGGTGAAGAAGAAGGGCACAGCCTCGAGCTTCTTCACGGAGCCGCACATGTTGATGGCGGCGATGCGGCCGTGGTACTGCGCCAGCTGGTAGTGGCCGATGTTGACGCGTTCGTGGGCCAGCCCGTGGATGTGGGCGTTGGCAATGTCCCCGCCCACATAGACATCGGGCACATTCGATTCGAGGAAGTCGGTGACATCCACGGAGCCGTTCCGATTGATCCGCACCCCGGACTTGGCCAGGAACTGCGTGTTGAGCGTGGAGCCGGTGCCGAGTATGAGCAGATCGCAGGGCAGGCGCGTCCCATCCGCCAGCTGCACCTCCACCACATTGCCGTTGTCGTCGCCCATGATCTCGGTGATGCCGCTCTCCATGCGCATTTGCACCTTGTTGTCCGCGAAGAGCTGGGCCACACGCTGCCCGATCTGCTCGCCGAAGGCGGCCTTCAGCGGCACCTTGTCCCGCCCCACCACCGTCACGCTGGCCACCTTCGAGACGAGCGCAGCGGCCGCCTCCAGGGCAATGAAGCTCGCGCCCAGACAGACAACGCGCGACGCTTCGCTGACGGCTGCCACGATGCTCTTCGTGTCGTCCAGCTCGCGGATGGTCTTCACGTTGTTCAGATTGACGCCCGGGATGGGCGGCTTGAAGGAGGAGCAGCCGGTGGCGATGTAGATCTTGTCGTACTTCACCACGTACCCGTTGCTGCAGTGCAGCTCCTTCTGGGCGGTGTCCAGCTGTGTGGCGCCCACGCCCAGCCACACCTCGATGTCGTGCTGCTTGTAGAACTCCTCGTCGCGGTAGCGCAGCTGCTCGATGTCGAGGTGCATGGACTTGGAGATCTTGATGCGGTCGTAGGGCAAGTAGTTCTCGCGACTGACGAGTATCAGGCGCCCGGTGTAGCCCTCCTGGCGCAGCGTCTCAGCGCAAACGGCACCCGAGGGCCCGCCGCCCACCACAATGAAGCAGCGCTGATCCTCCGGCTTGCGGGCGACCATGTTCTTCACGCGCTTGCTCTTGGCCAGGTCCGAGCGCTTGGCGCGCAGCAGCACCTGCCCCTCGCTGCTCACCTCCACGTTGTAGCAGGGCAGCGAGTCGAGGCCGGGGAAGTCCTCAATGTCGCCTGTCTCCAGGCTGAAGCACGCTCCGTGCCAGGGGCAGCGCACACGGCCCTGGCTGAGGGCGCCCGTGTTCAGTGGCGCCCCGTAGTGCGTGCACTTGGCCCCGACCGCCTGCAGGCGTCCATTCTGCTTCACCAGCAGCACGCGCGTGTCCTCGTCGAACTCCACCTGCTTCATTTCGTTCTCCTTGAGGTCGGAGACATTGCACACGGCCACGGGGTCCGTGTACTCCACAACCTCCGGCTCCGCGGGCATTGTATCTTTGTTGTTGCACTTGGACTGATAGGAACCCACGGCGCCACCTGCGAGAGAGAGAGACAGGCAAATTAATGAGCGATAAGCGATAAGCGATCAGCGGAGAGCTGCCAGAATCTGTTCACAAAGTGAAGCACTTCGAAAAGGTTGCCAAGGTTTTCCAGTTTTCCACTTGCCAAGGGGCAGGGGGTGAAAGTCAGGTAGAAAGCGCTTCCCATCGGATCTCAGTCTCAGTCTCAGTCACAGAAATGTCTTTCGCGTGTTCAGAGCTGATCGTCGTGCTGCTGGCCGTGTGCCTCAGTCTGGGTCTGTCCTCCTGCGATCCTGTGCTGGAGCTGCAGTCGCTGCGCGGCCACAGGGAGCGGCTTCTGGGTGAGATCGAACGCATCTACATGGAGCAGCCGCTGGGCGGGGAGACGCAACTGCTGCTGGACGAGCTGCAAGTGCGGGATCAGCAGCTGCGGCAGCAAATCGAACAACTGGAGGCGGCGACAGTGCCCGCGGAGGAGGCGAACAGCAGCAGCACCCAGCGGCTGGCCATCAATCTGACTGCTGACTTTGAGCACTTGCAGCACAAGCTGGACGACCTGAAGCGCCATTTGGATCGTCTGGATGTGCGCTTTGCCACGCAGCAAGGCAAGCAGCTGGAAGGCCACACGACGGCGACCAGCAGCCATCCAGCAGCCACCTTGGCGCCCTCCTCCGGCATTGGCTCGTTCTTTTGGACACCGCTGCTGACAATGCCGGAGTTTCCACAGGGCAGCATAGCTGCCACGGACAATGGACAGGATCATAAGCAGCATCAGCATCAGCAGCAGTCCCAGCCCCAACAGCAGCAGCAGGCAAGTCCCTCCATCATCAAGCGTGTGCTGGACATGCTGCGACCCTCAGCCACTGGCCTGCGCAATCGTTGGCTCGAGTCGGAGAAATCTGCCACAGGATCGACTTCGACTTCGGGTTCGGGTTCGGGTTCGTCCAAGCTTCACGTACTCACTGCCGAGGAGCTGCTGCCGCAGCTGCAGGAGCAACGGAAATTCCTGGACGCTGCCATCACGCGACTGGAACTTTTGTCAGCGACAAAGAGTCCGAAGAAGCATTAGGGCCGATGCGCCACAACAGAGGGCGCAGCTAGGCAACCGTGGCTGAGCCGTGGCTGACTTATTGAACCCACTCCAATGTCACCTTTGCCACACACTTTGCTACGTCATCAGCAATAAAAGAGAAACTAAACAAAAACACCTGTAAGCGTGTGTTCCACTCAGATGGGGGTTTGGGCTCTTGGCGGGTATGACCTGCAGATCTATTACGAGTACGAGTGTTTCGCCCGATGATATCTCTGACGTATCACCAGCCATAAAGATTGGAGCTTTCCAGCTGACCTGGGTTATAATTGGGGAATTTATGTGATAATGTTGCTATAATCAAGCAAGGGAATTCTCCAGTCATCAGAGTATACTCCAGACTCCAGATTGCAATATTTGAATGAGGTGAATGGGTTGAATGATGGATGGCCTGTTCGCGTGACTATATCTGCCCAATTTGTAGATCTTCGATAACTCCTTCAACACAGCGACAAAATTCAAGGGTAATTTGCTTACAAAACAGTCCGCTACGCACATCGGGACTTTTCCCCTTACATTGTTCCCCCTACTTTAAACCGTTGCTTTCCAATATCCCCCTTACTTTTGTACCCAAACTAGAGAGTGAGAGCATAATTGAGTCTTCGTCTTCATTTGTGCGTAAACTTATTTGCTGCACTGTATGCTTGTATTTTTTACCCATTTGGCAATGTCTCTCTAATTAGGAATGATTTCAGATTTCGTATGTCTTCTCCGACACGCTCTCTCATTCTCTTGCACACACCAACACACACACACACACACACGCACACTTTGGCTGCTGTGCTGACCCGCACAAACCGGTTGGCCTTGTCTAACCAGCATGACTCAAATGGCAGCAAGAAAACAAAACAAAAAAACACAATTGTAACACCGCAAAACAACAACAGATGCAAACCAAAAACCATAAACAATAAGTATTGCAAATATGTTACCGAAAAGTTATTAAACACACAAACAGAAAGTTCTGGGCTGCTCAAGGATTTGATTTGCAAAAATTATTCTTTTTGTAAACCGTAAACCGTCAGCTGGCAGGCGAATAGCACGAATGGTGAACGCTGACGTCGCGGACGACGATGTAAGCTAGAGCCGAAGAGACGGGCAGACCGAATGCCGATAACAGTCACTTAACTAGCAGCTGGGTACCGACCGCAAAGTGGTTATGGGAAAGGCACAAAAGAAAAAGAAAACAAAAACAAACTGTGCTCGCCACTTCCACTGGAGCCACACTCATTCCATTGAGACAATTAGACCTTGTGTGAGTGGGGAAAGGAAACATGACTTTCCCTCCCCTTCCCGTATCATGGTCACCCAGGTTCGTGTACATAGAAAACGCAAAGATTGGATTACTATCTGTCTGTCAAAGAAACCTGCTTGTAAGGATAATTGATGGATTGTCCACTTGAGAATAGAAACACTATGGAATCTAATTACATTTGTATGTGCTTACCTGTGGATTGTTCCTTTTGGGGCGTGACATTGCCCGTTGTCTTGTACTCCTTGCAGTTAATGGAACCCATTGTGTGCAAGCAGTGCAGGCGTCTGTGATGCTCGTTTTCGTGTACAATTTGCACGCTGATCAGCGGGAGGAATCTTGCTCGCGCGGTGCGCCTTAGAATGCCCGTTATGGTCAAGATCAGAGCTTGACGATAGCAGCGTTGCCACCTGAAAGTACGATTTACAATTAATAAATGGCTGCCCGAAGGCCTTTTTTCCTTTGTTTAAACCTATTATTAATTCAGCGCAGCAGTTGTGCCACTCATTATCAGTTGATTATAGCTAGTACACATTTATTTGTTGAAAACTTGTTGAAACGAAACGAATTTCTGCTCGATTTGGCAGCTGAGTCATTGGGGTTTTTTTGTGGCTTTGTGGTTGGGAAACTCTTGAGCTTCTTGATAGTCACTGCTTGAAAACCGCCTGAATTCTGGTGGTTTCTGCTGATATCTCTTGCATCTCATATTCTGGGGTCGCTCATGCACTCACCTCTCTTCGGTTCAGCCACAAACACTCCTCCTTCCAGTTCCAGTTGACATGGGAAAACTACGCACAAGAAGCACAACAAAAAAATTGGGAAAAAAAGAGAGCGGAGAGCGTGCAACAGGTTCGCCAAAAAGATAAAGATGAGATGCCGATGCCGATGCCGAGATGACTGGTGGGGATGCAACAGGCGACAAACACCAGGCGGTGAAGCGAGAGCAAGAACTTTTGGCCGAGAGAGGGACGACAGAGAATAAGCACGACTGTCGAGCGTGGACTGCGAACTGCTTATGCCGCACAAACTTCGATAGTGGAACCATTTGGGGCCTCTATCGCAGCCGTGTTCGACGGACGGGGCACACACAGGCGTACAGAGAGACATGTGCAAACATGTGTGTACATGTGTAAGACATGCATTGCGTCTGTGTGTGCGTGTGCGTGTGCGTGTGCGTGTCGTGTGCTCCACTCTCGACCAGGCTTTTATGGCTGTGCGCGACTAACGAAACGACTCGACCTTGCCGCCGTCGCCCTCACTTCCAGCCAAATCTCTTGAAGTTCCTTCACACGAACCACGCCCCACCACCATCGCATCACACACAATCAAACAGTACAGGCAAAGCCCTCAATACCCCACCACACCCCGCTTCCTGTCAAACTGCTGCTTCATACCGGTTTCCACCACGGACGGGGGCAAGGGCAACGTTCGTGGAATGCAGCATGCCCCTGCATGTAGAGAGCGGTTCACCTGTTGCCAGTGCTTACTGTTGCTGTTTTATTGCATCACCGACACAGCGATCCATCAGTCCCGTCGATAAGGTATAGTAGAGGGAAACTAGGCACTTGGGCAACTAGAGCGGAATTACAGGGAATAATTTACATACATAAATCCCGCTCTGCATTCCCCTTCTGTGTTTACAGTTAAATGACAAATATCCGATTGCAGCTACTTGCAGTGGAAGTGCAAGCAGTGCAAACTCCACCCAAGCTTTGGCTGAATTAACTTCTCTAACGAGGAGCCTTAAATTATCGAAATTTGTGACTTCGATGGCACGTTCCAGATAAAACAGTCTACTACAAGTAAGCACGTACCAAAACATGCACTTAACCTTAGACATACAAATTTACACTTGTACATGCCCTAAGCCTATGTACATATGTATTTAATTATACTTACATAGCCATTGATAGGTTAACTGGCAACAAATACTGCAACGGGACGGGATATTTATTTTTATTTTTTTCAAGTTTTATGTTACCGCTCTACCCTTGGGTAGAGGGGGATTATTTGGCCGCACGCCTTTACAAGGTGTAACTTGTTACAGTTTTACTCCAATACTTACCTGGCGTAGAGGTTATGTTCCCCACGTACTTGCAGTGTGACCGCGTAGATACGGGGCGGGATATATTATTATTATTAATATTTTTGTTTTGTTTTGTCTTTGGTTTTGTTTTGCATTTGTCGCTTCGGATTTATCGATCAAATATACGCGATATACGATCACTACCCTCAAAAATATACCGAAATATACCGTGTCATTTTATATACCGAATATCGTCAATCATTTTCAACGATTATGATATTCTATTTCATATTACCAGCTGGTTAGGACTCTCAGCGATAAAACTATGATTTTATCCAGTTCACCAAACAATTTTCCGAAGGATTGATTACTTTTCTTGATTTCTTGTTATTGGATTGTTTACAAAATAAGGATAAAACTAATAAGGAGAACAAAAAGATGGGTTTACACAATGCATTCTACATTACATGCTACATGACATGCGCAATGTAGCTTTGGTTAGTCTCAATGCCGCACCACAGATGGCGTTGAGTCTAGGCGGGATGATTTGAAGTTGGATCTGAATGGGAATATCGAAAATTTGTTACACACAGGAGCCATTGGGTGTGCGGTCGTCTCCTTTGTCATAGAGCTGATTTCTTTCGTGTTACTATCTTTCGTTCACTCGTATCTCGTTTTCTCGACAAAATAAAATTGTAAATGTTTTTATTTTAAACGGATCCTCCCCCCCAAGTACAGACGCCGACCACATGATACGAGCACTGTTATCCCTGTGGTCACCCGCAGCAGGCAGCGTAAGGATAGTAGACGAGGCACAGAACCAGAACCACATTCCACGCCCAGCTGCACAGATGAATCGCCAGAATCAGGCTTTCCTTTACCTCCGTTCCCGCCACCTAACGCGGTATCCCCGCATGATTGCCCAGATGCTGGCCGGTCGCGGGGACTTGCCCCATATGCTGGGCCGCGTGCAGCCACCCATTCAACAGGCGCCTGTATTCCAGGATCCAGGTAAGTGCTTCGACTGCAGCTGCCTTTTCCTTCGTATTTTTACTGCCACTGACACTGCCACTGCCCCATCCAGACTTGAGCGAATCGGAGCCGGACGAGGATTTCTTTATGCGGCCCTATGGCGTTGGTTACACCGTGACCCGCCGTCGCACCAACTTCACCTTGCTGCGCACTGGCGTCGAGGAGCCCATCAGCCTGCCCATCATTTGGCAGGCCCTGGAGGCGCTGGAGAAGCGCAAACGCAGAGCGGACGCCGCCAAAAGGAAGCAAAGGGCCAACGGCCTTGATGTTGCGCCTTTCGATTCCGTCAAGTTTGTGGCCCAGTTCCTGGCCAAAAATCTGACATTGGAAGTCTTCAATGCGGGCAATCATCCCAGCTATGGTCCCTCCACTTCGCGACATCCACCACCACCGCCAGCAGCAGCAGCAGCAGCAGGAGCAGGAGCAGGAGCAGCTGCTGCCAACTAGCTGCTCGGTGCAAAAAATGTCCCAACCCCCCAATAAGTACTAAAAACTGCAACGAAAATTCCCTGTAATTTCCCTTCAAGCATCTTGGACCCAAAGCCAGAAACTGGCACAACAAATTCAACAGACAATTAATTGATTCCATAATAAAATAGAGAACAGCACGAAAAAGTTGACTACAATCGACATGAGACCCTTGATGTTGTTTGGCAATCCCTTACTGTGGATTCAATTCATTATTATGGCCACTTTTATTATCACAGGTACATTTTAGGTACATTTTATAGTGCATAAAGAAGGGAAATGTAGGCCAGAATGCTGCGCGTATTTTATGCTGAAACTAACTATAGTTATTTATTGCCTTATTATATTTCAATTGTATTCCAAATTCCTTATGCTTTGCCTAGCACTACAGCCCTGAAACGCACTGTATGCGGATCACATTCTCCCCTCAAAATCCTTTTCTTAATGAATTCGCTGCTTTTCTTTTCGCTTTTTGTTTATTTTGTGTGATTTATTTAATATTTATTTACATTTGCTTTTCATTAGAAATCGTGCTCCTTATCGCACACATGAATCGCACTCGTATTCGTACTCGTAAATATTTTATAGTCGATTCTGTTTACAACTCGCGCCCATAGCCCATGTCCACGCGCCGCTCAAGTGATTCGCCGCTTGTGGAAACGAAACGAAACGAAACGAGTTCGAGTTCGAGTGCGAATCAAATTGAATCCGCTGACACTGCGAATTCAGTGCGTGTTGCAGCGAGTTGAAAGGTCACAGGACACAGGACACAGGACACACACGCATCCCATGACCCACACAAAGCGAGAGTGCAACGGCCCCCGAGCGGGCGGTGGGCGTGTTCAAGGCCGCGTCTCGCCTCGACCAGACAGAGTCCAGACAGGTCTACCCCCCGGCCAGGCCCAGTTCAGCCCCAGTTCAGCCCCAGTCCAGGGCCCGAATTCCAGCCCGAGCCGCGGCGCAGACTGAGACTGAGCGGAGCCATTGGCCGCTCTCGGCACTCGGTAGAGATTAGAGATGTGCACATGGCGGCGGCTCCGTTCCGTTTTGTTTCATTCCATTTCTGGGTCACCGAGCACTTTTGGCAGCGCGAGTGCCAATCAATATCAATATAAAAAATATCCCAAACACACATCAACCAAAGGGTATTTCACCCATTTCATACTACTCTTTAATTTGTCCAAAGTTATTCAACGACTTGGAATTTGCACCTTCAATTCACTTGCAACATTTTGCCATCTCTGTTTTTGGCCATCACTGACGCGCGAGCAAGAGCTCGTTCCCTTTGCTCTTGCTCACACTGCCCTGCAGCTCTGCGGTTGTTCTTTTTTTGTTTTGTTTGTGGCAGACATTGACCTTGAGGCCTCTTAACCGATTGCAGTTCATTGGCAGCAACTGCCAATTCCCAAAGCCAATGCCCAGGCTCAGCCTCAACCTCAGCCTCATCCCAATTCCAAAATGTTCCCCCAAACAAATGTGTGTCTATGCCCGCTGTTGGTCTCCGCTCGAACCATCTGCATGCACACATACACACACACACGTACACATACCGTTCTGTTGCTGCTGCTGCTGCTGCTGCTGCTGCTGTTGTTGTTGGGGTACAGGTCGCGTTGTGGGTTCGCTTCATACAAGTTTATTGACATCGGGCGATAATTTGGTGCTGTTTATTTCGCATCGCCGGGCGTTAAGAGTAAACGCATCGGCATTGGGAGTACTTGAAGTACCAAGCTGAGGAGGGATCTAGGATTCATCTAAATAAAATAAACTTTAAGCTGAGTTTAAATTATTATTCGAATTTGCTGCACTTCTTATCTCAGGCAATAATATTTATTCTGTAAATTCTTTTTTGTCGCTGTAATTGAGCTTGCTGAAGTTTCCGCGAAAATGCCGCAAAAGGTCCGTCGCCTTCTGCTCGTGTTTATACCATCCAAACAATGGATCAAGTGCAGAATTTTCAAGCGAAGCCAACTGGTGCTCTCCATTTACATGCTTTGAGGTGTGCCGCAATGCCCCAGACACATAATATGCCCCTGCCGCTGCCCCTGCCGCTGCCTCTAGAGAAAATCTCTCCAAAATGCTGCACGCTAGAACCCAAGTGGCTATAACTTCAACTCATATTAATATCTACATTTAACCATTATACAAGATTAATAATAATAAGAAGATGAATTTATATTTAGTTATATGCCATACAATTTCATGGAACTTGCAACTTAATTGCAAAGTTCAGTTTTGCTCCAATGGGAATCCGACGCCGATGCCGATGTCGATGCCGATGGATGGCCCGTTGTTGTTTCTGTTGCTATAATTAAGATTGTGGACTGTTGTCGCCGATGTCTAGGCTTTTCATCAACAACAAACACAAGCAGCGGCAACAGGCAGAGGCAGCGGCAGCGGCAGAGGCAGAGGCAGAGCCCAGAGCCAGCAACAGAGGCTGAGGCTGAGGCTGAGCCATCACCTCCTCCACGCTTCTGGGTCAATAATCTGCGTCTGAGCTGGATTGTTGTTGGCGCCCGCCTGCCGCACATGTCAATCAATGGAGATCCAATTTTAGCACAAGTAAACAATATTTGCCCGATCGAGCGGGAGGCAAAAGTGGAAGTCAGCTCAGTGGGGCCTCCCACAAGTGGGCGGGCGGCTTATCGCCCACTGGCGCTGGGGCATGGATAGAGGAAAAAAACCAAAGGAGCTGCACTGCCGCACTGCCGCACTGCCACACTGCTGCGTTGCTTTGATGAAACTCCATCAGCTGTCTGTTTGCTCTTCCTCAAATAATCGACAATCGATTGATTATCGATCAGTTATCGATCCTCCCATCCGTTGACCCTGACACGGCATGCCTTGGACTTTGCACCGCATTGCGTATGCCATCATCCACCCTGCAGCTCTCTCTCTCTCTCTCTCTCTCCCACCAAGTGATCCTCCTCGCTGATATCCCTGCCCCCCCAGACACAGACACTGACGCCTGCTTATCTCTCCAAATTACTTAGAACGGAGCAACTCTCGCTTTGCTTTCAGCTCTGCTCTGCTCTGCTCTCTGTTGTTTTCCTCGGGCGCGAGAGAGATTAATGCTAAAAATAGGGATCTTTTATTTTGAATTGAAACTAGATCACGTCGAATACACGTTGCCCCGTTGTTTACGGTTTTTTCACAGCGTTACACCCGACGCCCTCCGATGCGACGATGCCCCATTGGTTTCCGTTCTTCATCCTCTTCTGCTCCCGCCTGCACTCGGAGTCGCAGTCGAAGTCGCAGTCGAAGTCGCAGTCGCAGTCACGGCAGCGCCAGCGGCAGCGGCAAAGCAACAAAAACATCAACAAGTCTTATCGACAGACATTATCACAGCCCAAGCCCAAGCCCAAGACCCCAGTATGTGCAGTATGTAGGGTATACGGATGGAAGCCAGATGCCTGCCATAACCCTAGACCAAGGACCAGACCGTCCAGTGGGCGGAGGGAATGCCCATGCCAATTATCTTCTGTAATCATCTCGCACAGAAAGCTGCGGTTCACAGTCCACAATCAGTGAATCGAATTTCAATCAAACGAATACACCACGAAAATGTACAAACTTATGTACATGTGTACATTTATGTATGTACATTTATGTACAACAAAGAACTCAAAAGAAAGGTTTGTGGGATCCCTTGAAAGAGTTGAAAATAAAGCCAAAAGTGTGGCAATTACATGTACTTTATGTATGAATTTATGTATACATAATGTACAGATCGTTGCCATATGGGGGGGGGGGGGCCTGAAGGGATGCTGTTGTTCCGATGGATTCACTCTATTTGCTTCTGTTGCTGTTTGCATTTGTCACTCTCAGCCAGATAACGCACACATGTGTATGTATGTACATGTACTTTGCTCAAAGGCAATCTCGTGAATATTATTGTCAGTGTAGCGTACTCGGGCCGCCGCACTTAATGCTGAGCACACACAATCCCGACGCAACAGTGGCAGACCCACAGTGACCCGAAGTTGATTGGATGGATGTGTCATGGCCAGAAATTTGTTTTCTTTCATCACTTTTGTTTACATTACTTGTGGGTTTTTGTACCAAAACATGCGGCGCTACGCCAAAAAACGGGGCGTCGCTTGGGCCGCTGCCCTGGCCATGGCTTTCACGTGCACTTTAAATACACAAATGCATGGGCACGGTAGCAGTGTAAGCTACGAACATAGGGATACCCACTCAACAGACATACATATGTGCATGCATACATTAATACATACATACATACACACATTAATACATATGTGTGTACATACATTTTCTATTGTCTGCCTGTTGCATGCATCTCCACGAGTGGTGTATACCTTGGAGTACCGTTCCTCGGTTACCGTTCACAAGAAGCTCGCCCGAACGCAAACGAATGGAACGAAAACGATTTGCCGACGACGACGACGACGACGAAGACGAAGACGACGAAGATCGAAGAGGAGAGCGGGGCGGGCTTCGGCTTCGGCTTCGCGGAGCGCTGGCCGCACTTAAACGGTTCTTTTTCAATTTGGCTGTGAAACAACGAAGAACGTGAGCAATCCGATCAGATCCCTCTCAAACGCGAACCGATTCCACACAAAATAAAACGCATAGCGGAACCTAACTGGAATCCAGGCAGGCGCAAGTGCAACGAAAGTGAAACGAAGAGCAGCAACAAAAAGCTAAGCGGAAGTGAGAGACAATCACAAACAATTAGAACACACTCAATTTGAGGCTGTGAAAGCTTCGAACGCACACCCCCAACTTAATTCTTAAAGTCAAATTGGAGCAGTCTGTGTTGCATTCAAACATACTAATTTTTTTGGTGCAGTGTAAGCTTCGAACAACTGGAACACACACAGACACACACGCACGAACACTCAATTGAATGGAGTGGATGTGGGATGCGTGACAGCAGCAGAAGCAACAGCAACAGCAGCAGCAACAACAAAGCCAAACGGCAGGAAGTGGCCAAACTAGAGAGCGACACAGAGAGAGAGAGAGAGAGGGATTAATCCAGTGAGACAAAGAGAGAGATAACCGTCAAACAGCAGAATCGAAGCAAACTGCTTCAAGTCGCAGTCTAATTATAGCGCACTGATGTCTAAAAATAAGCAACAATTCCACAGCCACACAACCACAAACTCGGGCAAACAAACCCATTGAGTGCTGGAGAGAGGAGAGTGGAACAGCCTGCAGAGATCAGAGAGAATCTACAAGCAGTCCAAGCAGTTTCGTTTTGAGTTTCGCTTTCGTCAGTGTCGCGCGCGACCAACAGCTGTTTAATCGACACAACAAAACAAAAAGCGCGCTGGCTGGTGATAAGGATAGCGATAGCCCAAAATCTGTGGTCACGCCAAAGGGTGCAAGGGCGGCAGCACGAGTCAGCAACGCTAACGGAGCTTACGGAGCAGGCGCAGCTTGTGGGCCATACAGGTTGACAAGACAGCGGGAAGGGGACAGATAGAAACAACCGACAAGGAGCCGTTACAAAATGCGAGCTGCGTGTTCGAGTGGCCAGAGCGAGAGGTAAGGCTGAGAGAGAGAGAGAGAGAGAAAGAGAGAGCATCGAGCATCGAACATCGAACATCACTCATTGGCCGGACATTGAGTTGGCTCGGGCCGGCCAAGGCGCGCTCCACTTTTCGTTTTGAGATTCCACATACAACGAACGGCGAAGGCAAGCCCAGGCGCAACGTGAAACGTCATCGTAGCGCTTCTTCAATCGTGTCAGCGTCAGCGTCAGCGTCGGCCGCAATTCGCACTCAAATCGAATTCTGCTCAGGGACACGACGCCACACGAGATGCAACAACAACAACTGCAGCAGCAGAAGCAGAAGCAGCAGCAGTACTCAGCACCCGAAGCAGAAGCAAAAGCAGAAGCAGAAGCACGCGTCACCCCCCGAGCACAGTTCGATTGCCCCAGCCGCGGCCCAGACGCTGCTCGCTGCAATCGCCTATCGATCCCGATAGCTCATTGAGAGACAGCCCAGCTCAGATCCCTGTCGATCCGCTTCGGTGCGCAATCTTGTTCTATCCGCACAGCGGAAGCTTCCCCCAACTATTTGTTCGTTTTGTTTTTTTTTTTTTTGCACGTAATACAAACAAAAACCCCCAAACAAAAAGCTAAAACGTTAGTGTTAACGATTAAACGGAATATTTTTTTGTTTTGTTTTTCGTCAATTGATTGTGATTTTGAAACGGTGTGATTGCAAAATAATTAATCTGCACAATAACCAAAAAGAAAGTTCCTTAGGCAAGTGATAAACATAATAAAACGACAGAGCCCCAGCAAATACAATACAATAAATAATATCCAACGTATATCCCATACATAACAGTCTCGATCCAGACACGAACACGGAGAATATTTACTTTCTTAGCTACGCCCAGGACACGCAGCATGCAAATGTGAGTACAAATATGTTCGAGAATTGGTTTTAAAGTTGGAATTTCGAGTGTTAATGTCTGCGAAGTGTTGAGGTTGTTGGGTTAATGGTTCAACACCTGCATAAGCAGAGCGTTTTGGCTAATTTCCAATCACACTTTAGCCCTTAGCTTTGGTAACCAGAGCTGATCTTACTTCACGCGAAATCAATGGAAAAATTCTGTCTTAAAACAAGATCCGATTCGGGGAATTCATTGGAAAGTTTTCTCCTGCTCTAGCGATACAATTTTCCACGTACTTGCGTTTGATATACGAGAAACTTTCATCTCTTCCGACACGACGTGGAGCCATCGGAGCCGAGCCGAGCCGATCCGATCCGAGCCGAGCCGAGCCGATCCGAAACCGAACCGAGATCAATGCAGCCGAACATGCACAAGTGGGAGGAGTGTTTGGGTGCTTTTTGGTGGGTGTGCAGCAAAATGATAACTGTGTGACAGACAGGATGACCGTTGGGGCCCGCCGCCACTTGTTTATTTTCAGCGGAAAACATTGAGTACAATATGTGGTAGGGTCGGTACGCTCTGTCGTCTGGTTCGGCTGGCAAGCTGATTCTCAAAAGCAAACAAAAACAAAAACAAAAACAAAGCCGCATGGGGCATGCCTCAGTCCCCGTTACTGATTGTGTATAAAAGGAACTCATGTTCCAAATGATAAGCCGACGGGCGCTTCAGCGGCAGACTGAGTTTATTTTTAAACACTGAAGTTTATGTAAATATTTCCTGGCCATCCCCAGCCTCAGACTCGGCTCCAGTCGCAGCGTCTGACAAAAACAAAACCACAATCGAATCGACTGGCATCTGAGCTGAAAAGTACAGCAATAATATTTGACACTGATAACCGGAGGAGGAGCGGGAGAGCCAGGGAGGAATGACCAATGTAGAGACCAGACAAATGATCAGACTTGGGAACAGGTGGATTGATGTGCCTAATTGGCTAATTGCAACCTTCTTTGCTTTGCTTCCTTTTTGCAGATGATTTTCGCAGTGGGATTTTCGTCTAAAGTGATTCTCGTGCTGGCCGCCATCATGCTGGCCCTGTCGCTGTCCGGCAGCCATGTGGCCGAGGCCAGTCCCGTGACCGTGACCACAGAGGATGGTGGTGTGCGCACGCGCTGTGCCGACTTCCTGGCGGAGTCCATTCAACTGATCTGCAGAAATCGCACACGCTCGCTGGCCGATGCCTATCGTAAGTACTCCCCAGAGAGAGAGAGAGAGAGAGAGAGTCGATGAATCAAGGCTTATCAATGTTTATCCATTTACCCGAACAGCCAACAGCTTTGGGCGTCGCAACAAGCGCTTCTCCCCCGACGAGATATTCTACAGGCCGCTGCAGAATGGACCCACACACGACTGTTGCATCCGTCCGTGCAACTACACGGAGCTCAAGCAGTACTGCGCTCCCCCCGAAGACGAAAACTGAGTGCGAAAAACCCGAGCGAGCCCCAGCCAGGTCTAGGCACACATAAATATTGCACCAGCATCCCAGCACTAGCAGCACCTCAGCACACAAGCGGCACACAAGAAGCAGCAGCAAGCAGCAAGCAGCAAGCAGCATTCAGAAAAAAGCACCCCAGCAGCATCTAGCGAACCCCACCCCACATAGAGTACACGTACACCTAGCACATATTCCACTAATTTAAACTACACTCTAATTGCACTTTGTAAACAAATAAAAACATGCGAAATGCAGGAAATCCATCTAGGAAAATGCCCAGCCAGCCAGTATTTGTTTGTGGCCAGACAATTTACCAGACGCCTTTACCTTCTAAGTAACTTCCCATGGCATCGCGTTGGAGTTCATGTCAGAGCATGGGCTGGACACCCGAGCTGCCTGGCGGTTGGGTCCGCACAGGCTGATTGCTGATGATTGCAAATTGCACGGCGCACTTCAAGGACTTTTGATTGAAATTCTCACATATTTATTACTACAAATTCAATTTTAATGCTGCTACTTCCGTTTTAAATTCGGTTTTAAATCGATGAACTTCAGCCGTAAGTTGTGATTATTCCAAGGCTCAGCCCGCTCAGGGCTACTCTGCTTTCCTTTTCTTTGTTTTTGACTAGAATTTGGATTGTGGCTTGAGGACTTCGGGGACTTTCCATTGAGTGCTTTCTGCCTCAGTTCATTACGTGGGGCGTGAATTTAGATTGGAATTCGATTTAGTTTCTACCTCTGGCTGGACACCAGTTGGAATTGCTGTGGTCAGTGCCTTATTTTGGGCAGTTTTTGTGCCATAAAAGTTGACCAAAATGTCTACGGAGGAAACTGCGGCTGGCTGCGATGATTTATTGATTGAAGACTGTTTTGGCGCAGAAAGCATTTCGCACTCCTTGCCAAAGAGTTTGTGGAGAAACGAAGCGCCTTGGAGTGGTTCGGGGTTGCTGCTGGACTTCTCCTCTACCGCACTGACCTGCTTTGAAGTGGAGCAACTTGGAGTAGCAGGCAGTGTCGCAGGTCTGCCTGCTCTTCCTTCCTTGGTGAGCAAATCCCCTCGAAAGACTCGCTTCAGATGCGTAATTGAGTGCCGAAGCCACTGGTTGAGTTTTCCCCGCTGAGCCATTGCGGAATTAGGCGCACAATTAAATTTCGAACTCGAATTTTCTTTTCTTTATTTTGGAACGATTGAATCGGCCCTGCTGCCCGAATGGGAATGTTTTGGATGGACTACTAAGGTTCTAAAGTTTGAGATTTGTACTACGAAATATTGATGACAGCAGCAGAACACTTGATGGGGTGGCTGCAGGATGGCAGGATAAACGACACCAGACACCAGGTCCCTGCTTGGACATAGTCCCCCAACATATTCACCTCCCAGTGAAGCCTTAGCACAGCCGCTAAATCGAACAGAACCCAACCCCAACCCCACGCCGGGCGCCGGTCGCCGGTCCCAGGAGTTTGCTTCGAGGGTTGTCGGGGGTTCCAAACAGTCTTCAAAGTAAGAGAGAGAACAGAAGTCTTATAAGGGATACATTCAACCCCGAAAAGGGCCCAACCCGAAGGGGGAAAATTCCACCCACAGACAGAAGTAACAGTTGGCCGCGTTGATTCATCCCAGCCCATATGGAGTAGTCAATTCACTCTGGCCCCAAGACTGAAACGAAACCAAAATTCAATGTGGAAAAACTAAACCTAAAACCTCAGCCACAAGTTAGCAATTAACATTTTTTGTTGGGCCCTTGGTTGGGCAGAGACTCAAAAAGTAGCTCCGAAATTCACTCAAATCTTTGTGTTTTCATTTTTACGATGTTTATGCATGCTCCCTCCCACCTAATCATCTCTCTTTGCCAGATTCGTTTTGCTACAAAAACTCATAAAGAGAGGCAGAGCCTGCTGCCTCTTTTTCGGGGATCACTGCTCCACCTCCATCCCTTTCTGGCGCACGCACAGCAGACGTCACCTTGTTGGTCGCTTCCATATGTATGGGTGCGCTAGGCAGACAAAAAAGTGCACAAGAGACAAAGCAATAGCAAAGAACAGTTACCTTTCGCTGTTGGCTCTCATCGCATCTCATCCCAGTTCGCAGTTGTCAGTGTGTCGCATGCTTGGCACACGTTGAACATGGAAGCTGAAGAAGGATGAAACAAAATTACAAAAGCAAAACAGGAACAACAAGCAGACATACATACATATGTATGTAACTGCATATGGCGTACACATACTTATGTACATATGTACGACCAATCGATTCGATCTTAAAGATCATCAGCTGTGGCCGTCCCTGTCCCGTTTCATTTTAAAGTTCTCTTTTATGCGTAGTTACATTTTTTGGGTACATGCTTGAGTGGGTGCGCGCGCAGAGAAGCAGAGACCGAAGAGAACAAGATCAATTTCATCATGGGCTGCACCAGAATTTTCGCCATCTACACACACACACGCACACGCACAGTTGGGCTGTGCTTGCAAAATGTACCCGATTTTTGCATGCCTGCAAATGGAGTTCATATGTATGTGTATCTACTGTCTTGTACAGCGGAAAACTTAGGCGCATGTAGACGTATTTTTTGGACGAGCTGCGGCATATAATCGCGAGTTGTTCATTTCAATTATTTATATTTGGTTGTGAGAAATACGAAAACCGTATTTCGGTTCGAACCGAAAGCCTCTCAGATTTCACACACGTGCTCGAAACAGTTGTTTCCATCGTTCCACCTTGCTGGAAGAGAGCTCCGACAGCGAAGAGCGCGCCGCGTAAGAGAGTGGCCAGCTGTTTTCGTACCGGCGTTCGTTTCGTCTCGTTTTGCTCGTTCCGTGCACGGCGGCGGTGAGTGTTCGAGATCGCGTTTAGTTCACAAACCTACTTAACTCTGGGACAGACATGGGGCGTCCGCGCACCATTGACGTAACCAACTTGGTGGTGGAGTACCCCGATAAGAACTACTGCCGCTGCGTGCGTTGCAATAAGACCCTCTCCGGCTGCCTGCGAAGCAACATCAAGCGGCACTACCAGCGGCTGCATCCGGAAGTCGTGCTGCCACGGCCCCAAGGCAAAGGAGCACCCGTGGAAACGAAGGACAGAGGAACCCCGGTAGAAGCGAAAAAGACAGGTTGGTTCAAGTTGCTAAATAATAAGTAACAATCACTAACCAAAGCAAGCACCAAATGAGTCGCACCTTTGAGCGAAATCCGCTCTCTTTGACACTCGCTCCCTCTCTCTTCGCTCTCTTTCTCGGTATCTCTCGCAGAGAGTGTTTTGTGTGTTGGGCGCTCTGGCGATCAAGCGTTAACCCTAGAAAGAACCAACACAAAAAACGTTAGCCGTTAAAAGCCGAAAAAGAAATCTTTTCGATTTTTACCTAATAAGTTTTTATTGTTAAGCCACAATAATTCATAATTGATTTTTGGATTGCAGTTACAAAGGTCAGAAGGAAGGGACGAGTACCGCTTGTGGACACGCTTACGCTGGTTCATTTGCTGCCGGATGGCAAGCATTGCCGCTGCCGCATCTGCGACAAGACACTCATCTACCTTTCGGGCAATGTGCGGCGACACTACAAGAACTACCACGCACAGTACACAGCGGACCAGACGGTGGCACATCCACCAGCGGAGAATAGGAAGCACTTGAATCGGAGTCAAAATAAATCGAATCCAGGTCCAGTAAGTAGATGCAATTTTCAAACCACAAAGGAGTAAACAGCGTGCACCTCTCAATACGAGCACAAACCAAACCGAAACCACCAAGGCAGCAACCAGCATATCCAAAGATTCGTTTTTCGCACACAGTCAGTGCCGTCCCCACAGACCACCAGACCAGACCGGTTTGCATTGTTTTGTATCTCGTGCCATGTTCCATGTTCCATGTTCCATGTTCCATGTGTTTCAACGCTCTCTGAACCGCCACCGAGTGAACCACTCACCACTCCCAGAGAACGAACGAATACGTGCAGGGAGAGGCACATTGGTTTCGGTTCGGTTCGGTTCGGTTATGTTTCTGTTTCTGTTTCTGCTTCTGCTTCTGGTTAACGCTGGTTTTGCGCTCTCTTCCCAGTATCTGGATGGGTGTGCGTTGGTTTCTACTCGGTCTGAGACTGCTTTTATTCCGTTTTCGAGTGTCGGATAGAGTGCAACGCCGTCGCCCGTTGAAGTCCAATCAAAAATGCCAAGAAAGTACTCGAACCCTGTGAATAAGTATTTCGTGTACAACGAGCACACGCGAAAGAGCACCTGCCTGCAGTGCCGCTTCGACATGGCCGGCAAGCACTCGGAGAACCTTATGCGACATCTCAAACGGAAGCACCAGCACACATACGCGACGCTCATAGAGATGCGGCGGCTACGACATAATCTTATGAACCAGTCGCTGGCCAAAGTGGAATCAGCTACCGCTGCCGTGCCGTTGTCTTCCATGTTTCAGTTCTCCTCCCAAGCTAAAAAACTAAAGATCGAAGGGGTAAGACTCTCGAGAGTCGAGGAGTTGGAAGCTCCTTCAAATAACTTCCCCCACGATATCAGTTTATTGATCCATTTGTTTTCAATTATTTGCAGGATCCTGCGAAGGCAATGGCCAGCAGCAAGGAATCGGGCTACGAGGCTGAGGACCAGTTCGAGAGCATCTTCATTGAAAAGTCGGAGGTGCCGGATGTCGAGGATGAGGATGAGGATGAGGAGCTGTCAGACGATCAAGATATCGATGCCGACGAGATGCGCTACTCACAGGCACTCAACCAGACAACGCCGGAGATTTCAGCGATCTTGTCGCTGCGCAGCTCCCCTTCGGCTGCAACCTCTGCATCCACTTTGGCCATCGGAGCGCCCACGCCCACAACACTGTCCGGAGACGATGCCTCCTTTCTGCAATATGTGGGCAAGAAGTTTGGGAATTACTCCACGCGCACCAAGCACACGGTTCAGTTCCAGTTTAATCGAATCTTGTACAGGGCCGACATGGGCTGCTTCGAGGAAGGCGAAGCCAAAAAGGTCAAGGAATCGGAAAATGTCTAGCCATTAAGCGGAACGAACCTGTTTCCAACTACAACTATATTATTATATGTATATTATACTTGTATATTCATTTGTCAATGGCTGTCACTGAAAGAGCGTAAGGATATTTGTATGTGTTAGGTTAATCCACGTAGCTTTAGGCCGCGAATCATTATAGCTACATCATATAAGCGAGACTCTCGAAGAAATTGATTTTGTTACAACATAATTGTTTTGAAAAGTGCTCCAGAAGTATTGTTTATGTTTGTGTTGGATCCATTAAGGATTTGTGTGTGTAAAATGCTAATCGGAAACGGAAATGTGGGCGCGGAAACGATGCCTTCTCTCAGAAATCTATATTTGTATCATTTCATTTTGGATATTTTGTTGATAAATCAAAGCCATGTTATGGCTTATATGCAGAAATCAAATCACACCTATATTGTTATTCCAGTTGATTGCCACAATTAGCGCTTCTTTAAGGTATTTCCATGCACCCCCACATCGGGGCACATTCAAATCAGGTCACATCTCCGCACCTTGCCTTGGGGCCAGTCAGATCATTGCCCCCCATTTAGGAGGGGGTCAAGGCTCATTCGCAGGTCGGTCGAACGATGCCCACAAAATGCGGTTCAACTACCCGCAATGAAATCCATACAGGGTCAACATCATTGGCACCCTCCAGCCACCATCTCAGGACAGGATGATGATGATGAGCGTTGAAGGGAAAGTGCGTGAAGGAAACACACACAAAAATATTTCAGCTCATTTCGCCTTGCCTTGCCTTGCCTTGCCTCCTTGTCGAAGCGTGTGGAAAGTTTTTTCATCTTTCCAAAGCAGATGTTCTCCGTGGCTCGCTCTCTCCCTCACTCTCTCTCTCTCTCTCTCTCTCTCTCTCTCTTTGTCGCTCTGTGTGTGTGCGTGTGTTGTCATTGTGCTCTTTAACCGTTTCGTGAGGTTGCTTCCATAGGCCAAAGAAAGGGAGAAGAAAAAAGAAAAGAATGTTAAAAATTGGCAGCCAATTCTGCAATATTTGGAGGCAGAATCACGCTGCTGTGTGTTAGTGGCACTTTGCATTAGCAATTACCGCAGCGTGAGGAAATGCTAGACTCGGCTACTGTATTTTAATAGCCTGGCAAATTGTATGTCCTATTTGCCTGCACCAGCATGCCCATCCGATATTCAATCAATTTGGTTTATAGGCGAATATACATACTTACAAATGTACACACATACATATCTATGTAACTGTATCGCTTAAGCACACCCAGCATACGCTGTGCTTCATGTTCGTGAGTGTGTGTGTGTGTGTGTGTTTTTGTGTTTGAGAGAGTAAGCCGGCTGACCAGCTTTGTCGCTCTCTATACTCCACGCGCCACGCTCTCTTCTTCCTGACAGCCTTCGAAACCAGCAACGTCTGTCGCCGGTCCTACTCTCTTTCTGTCTCCGTCTCCGTCTCTGTCCTGTCCCCTTCCCTGCCTATTCATTTATCTTCGCATGTTTTTTGTGCATAGGGGCGCTCTGTGTGTAGTCCCTTTTTATTCAACCACCTCCTCCCGCATTACGGACCTCTTTCCACTTCGATTTATGGGGACGTTTATGCGTTCAGCGTCCTCTTGACGGGTTATTAAAGGTTCATTGTCAAATATGGTACAACCATGCTGCTGTTTATCGCCTCTGCTGCTGCTGCTGCTGTCCTCGGTCTCTGCTTTTGATTCCTCTTTGCTGTGCTGCCAGAATGAACTAACAGTTCTCTTGAATTTCTTTGTTTTTCTGGCTACATCGTACAAGAGCATTCGAAATTATTCGAGTTAAATTGTATAGCAAAAACACGGCAAAAATCAAGCCGTAACCAACGAAGGAGGCAATGTAAAAGTATTGATCCAAGCAGTGCTAAAATGTGAGGGCATTTCTGTGTCTCTTTCTGCCCAATGCCGAACTGTATGTAGAAATGCCAAAAGCAAAGGAAGATGCAGAAAGGCAACAACACGAATGGCAGAGGAAAGAGAAGTCGCACAAACCTGCCGCCTCTCCGATTCTCTCACACACTTACAACGCACAATCGGAGATAATCATTTGACTTGAAGAAACGCTCGTGAATGGGGTGCATGAATGGGTTAATCAAGCGTTATAGTATCTAAAAATAGTTACATGCGCCCATACAAATTAAATGTAAAACAAACAAAAATCGAACTTTGTTCCTACTTTTCCAGTTTAATTTGTTTTTTCCCAGACGATTAATAGCTCATTAGATGAAACAGATAAAAAGGAAGTTTCCAGTTTACAGGACTGAAGCATTGACAGAAATTAATTATATTTTGTCAGATTGATATTTAAGCTAAATGTGTCCCACACCTGCGCGCTTGTCTATGTGTGTGGGTGTGTTCGTGTTCGTGTTCGTGTCTGTCATTCCGTTCCCAGAGGGGCGTCGCAAGCTGAACGGATGAATGATGATGGCGTTGACGATGGATTGAATCTGAGCCTACAGGGACCACGTGAAGGATAATGGAAAGAAACAGTATGCCGAGCAATGAGGGATACTGGTCGTTGGCACTGGTGAGCGGCCAATATAACATTTTAATGATAAATATCTGATTAATGTTGGTCACAAAACTGCATGCAAAATGGGTATGAATACAGAAACTCAAAGCAAAGGTCTTGTTTTATGAGTTTTACACCTGACACACACATAAGAGAGGTAATGAGGAGAGGGTAAGGACTTACAACCTCAAGCCAAATGGTTTGTGGACCTCCAGCCACCCTACTCCCTGGCTATACTCCACCCTACCCTAAAAATGTGTGCACGTATGTATGTATGTATGTATGTACGTATACCAACAGAAAACCAAATGTTATCTGCATTGGGAGCACACAGCTCAGTTGAAGTTTCCTTTGATATTTAACAATCTTTGAACAGCTGAAAGACAGGAACAAAATGCCCAACCCAACCTAAACTCAACATTCATGAGTATACGTGTGTGTGTGTGTGTTTGTGTTTCTGTTTCTGTGTGTTTACAGACAAAGGCCAACAAGTTGCTATGGGAATGGGAGTGGGGAAATTGTTGCCATCAAAATCCCTCCACTCGCACTCACAGTGCGTGGTGGAAGAGGTGGGGCAACAACAGCAGGAGCAACAGCGAACCGGGGAATAAGTGTAACAAAAACAACAAGAACATTATTATCATAGCAAAGGAGGTATAGTCAGAAACTCGACTATAAAGATACCTGCCACTCCGATACATGCATACAAACATACATATGTATGTATACATTTGTACAACCGCAAAGTATCATGGAAGGAACCGTTTAAAAGTTAACCAAATTAGTGCATGGGACACAGATTCCATTCCCAAGAACACTTAGACATCATTAGAATGAGATATTTGATTTCAGCGTAGGTTTTGATTTTAGGATCTGGAGCTTAGATTAAAGGTAGGTTTGGTTACAATTTGGAAACGCATTAAATACTAGTACAACACTTTATGGCGTCGGAAATGTCTCTCCAGCCCCTGCATACATACAAGCCTACATATTTACATACATTTGCATAATAACAATATAGTCTACCCACAGAAACAGCAACAGGGAGGAAGCAACTACGAGAGCAAAAGCTACAAAGGAGAAAGGCGAAAGGAGGCGTAACACACATGAAGCAGAGCTCACACATGCGACAAGGCTAATCCTAATAATCTTTTAGTTTTCTTGAAGATAGCGAGAGAGAGAGAGAGAGAGAGCAGAGCCCGCTCTCCCTCCTCCCACCCCCGGCCAACTGCTGATTGATTTCGTTCTGCTGTGAATGAGTGAGCGAGCAGAGTGGTGTGGGTGGTTTGTTTGCTCAAGAGGCGGGTGGAGAGGCTGTAGAGAGAGTTCCCCACATGCAAACTAGGAAGAACGGACGCCACGTGTGAGTGCGAGGCCTGTGCCCGAGAGGGGTGAGAGAATGGAATGGAATGAATGGCAAAGTACACGACCCGTTACGCACGCACACACACACACACACGCTTGACATTTCTCTCCATCTGCACTGTAAAGTATGTTCATACATACATAAAAGTTCTCTTTACTTTACATAATTTGCTTAAGTTAACTTTTTTTTGTGTTTTCTTTGTGTTTTCTGCATGTTTTCTTCTTATTTTGTAAGTAAAATAGTTGAAAATCAATTTGACGTGTGCTGAATTCTGTTTTCGATTTAAAAACTCGTTTCACAAACGAAAGTAGAGCCAAGGAAGAGGTAGCGGAACGAGATGACACAAACAAGGGTGGGCCATTGTTGCCGCAGGAGCGAAGACGTGGCGCGGGGGCATACAAAATGGAAATCAACTCGAATTGTGTGTGCCCCGCCATGGGTTGGGGAGGGTATGGGTTGCCTGGACTCTCGACCATGTCAAAGGTAAAGCGAGAAATCTAAATACATACATATGTATGTACTATAAATGTATGTACTATGTATGTACGCTCCTAAATCGAACTTCGGCGCTGTAAAACACACATTTAAAATCCTCAAAAGCAAAAGAGAAACCCAACCCTTTGGAAATGACTTCTGACCGGAGATTAACTCTGAGATAATGGATACATAATATGTACAAATAAATGTATTTATGTATGTACAAACATGATGTTTCCGCCACGTCAAGAAGCTCGAAAAAATACCCACCGCAAAATGCATAAAGGAACTGAACGAACGATTTTGTTGTTCCCATCATCATCCAAGGGTGGCAATAATTACATCCATATTTTTACCATTTCAATTTGAAAGAAAAATCGACCCACTCGACAGACCCAGCAGCGGAATACGTGGCTTCTATGTGTGTGTGTGTGCCTGCTGGGACATGTTTTCGCCTGCAGCGGCCAACAATAGGGTCGCAGGCACGAACAGAAAAAACTAAATGAATCAATGAGAGAGGCAAATGGCTGGCAATTGCATGGCTTGGGTTGGGCGGTGGGGGGGCCGGGGGGAGAGGCTCGGCTCTGAGATGCGGAACGAGCCAAAGGCAAAACTGAAGGGAACAATAACCTTGCCGAGGACTAACTCGATTTGCGCCAAACTAAATTTGTTTGGTTTTATGCTTTCAGTTGGCAGGTCCTAGAGCGAGGATAAGGCAAGAAAAAAGCAATACGCTATCAAAAGTACAATCAATAACATCTACAATAATTAATCACATCGCGATCATCAAAGAAACTCTTCCGATTTCGTTTCGGATAAGCCAGGATCAATGCGTAATCGTTTAT